TTTGTTATCGCCACTGCCCTCATGAATCCGCAACCCATTTGCTTTTTTCATTTGAGATTAGTGGGTCAGCTTCCATTGAAGCATATTCAGGATATGTGACAAGAAAGGACAGCGTTTTGTCTAAGGTTTGTCAGGAAAGCTGAGAGAGCGAGGGAGCAGAGAGAGAAAGAGAGAGAGAGACACGTTCTCTGGGGGATGGCGAAGAGGCAGGGACAGATGCAGGCATGTTGCTGATACGACATTGGGGGTTGTGCTTGGTTAGGGACTGAATGCTTATTCTCAGAGATATGAAGGCTAGGTTAAAAAAAAAAAAAAATCTCAGAGAGATGAAGGCTAGGTTAAAAAAAAAAAAAAAAAAGACTGACCATATAAATGTACAACAAATGATATTCATGCACCATAAGGGATTTAGATGATCTTTCAACATACCTATTTGGCTTCGACCCGGAGGTTTCACCTTCAGGTCATTTGTCAACTCTGAAAAGTGGAAAACAAAGCGGTTAAAGAAAAATGAATATGGTACATACAGAAATCATGTTGGAGTGTCAATGTTGAGCCAAAACATCTCATTAAAATGACACTGACATTTCAAGTTGATTTAATCTTTTCTTTGACAAGTTAACCGATGCTGCACGTTACTCCAAGCACATTTCCACATGTCCGTACATAAATAATGAAGCTAAATCTGAGACTTTGCGTTAAGAATCACTGTCAGAGGCTTGGCCAAGTTCCCTTACTTTGTCAAAACTGTCTTTCTTTGCAGTCAGACATACAGCTGCAGCTTTGAGAGTACTGTATTGCTCCCTCAAATCAATATGTGCTAAAAGAAAAACTGCTGCCGATGCACTCTTGCTAAGCATAATGTTTAATGATGGAAGACTGAATGCCACAAAATGATGTCATTGAAAGCAAATTCAGTCAAGTTCAAACGATGCAGTTGCAACAGATTTTAATTATATTCTATGGACAAGTGGGACACCACCCCGAACTCAACTAAGGTTTGGGAGACTGCATGTATATATTTTGTTCTTTTTATAAAGGCATTTTCTATGCTCACGCGCTTTGTGGGAACAATTTAGCACAGGAAAATTAGACAAGGTGTCCAAATACATACAATGTTCATATAACTTACGGTCAATTTCATCACTGCTTGAGAAACGCTGTCCACTCGGGATAGGTACATGGTTGTGGCCAAAATGATAATTATAATTATTTTGATCAATAGTGTAATCATTAATCCCAATTACTCATTATGATAGGGAAAACCTCTGTACATTTATTGCAACATATTATACAATATGTTGCCATTTTCAACGGGACAAGAAACTTTAAAACAAATTGATAATAATTTTCAAATAAATGATAAAACAACAGAAAAAAAAATATCAGGGATTAAAATTTACCATGGGCTGAGTAAGTAATATGCTATTACCCTTTGTTTGATGTCACTCGAACTGAATCCAAAACAAGCCTTGAATCATGTGCATGCCCCCTGGGGAGCTTGGCTGACGATACTGGTTGATAGAATGCTTGATTTAGTTATGCAGCAGAGCCCATATTTTAAATGATAATAAGGTTGATATCATGCATCCATCCATTTTCTGATCCGTTTATCCTCACAAGGGTCACGTGGCGTGCTGGAGTCGATCCCAGCCGTCTTTGGGCAGTGGGTGGGGCACACCCTGAACTGGCTGCCAGCCAATTGCAGGGCACACATAGACGAACGACCATTCACGCTCACACCTAAGGACAATTATGAGTGTTCAATCAGCCTGCCATGCATGTTTTTGGAATGTGGGAGGAAACCGCAGTACCCGGAGAAAACCCACGCAGGCACAGGGAGAGCATGCAAACTCCACACAGGAAAGAACTGATCACCTCTGCACTCTGAGGCCGACGCGTAACCAGCCGACCACCGGGCCGCCCCATTTTGCTCTTCTAAATCATATTTAAAATGTGTGTATAAAACCCTAAAAGAAAAAAAAAACAAGACTAAACCAAATAAGCTTTCTGAACAGGTTTTAATTTAAATTTTTGATTCCTAATTAATTCTGTTTTCAGGGAGACAGAGGGACATGTCTTTGCCAGCAAAGCGAGCCAACATTCTGACGCTTTACGACAGCAGACATCAGATCAACCTCGTAGTGACCTTCAGGAAAGAGCACATGAGCAAGCCAGCAGAAAGCTCCCCTTGAAGGACAGATCACAAATTCTCAACTCAACAAATGATCATCTATTCATCAGTGTGGGGACACAAAGCTCTTCAAGTCCCTGTCAGGTAGTAATAAACAACACAGGGGGTTCCTCACAATACTGGTTGTTGCTTGTGATGGCCTATTCATAGGCTGAGTGAGGTCAAAAGGTCATTCACTCTCTGGTCACAATTAATGATAAAACCGAATGATTTCTCTGAGCGTGTGTGATATGGTGCAAGACCCCATTGATACAGAGGGGAGAAGAGAACAGAAACTCCAATACACACAAACACACAATTATAGATTAGCGCAACAAACTGATGGAGGAGGGTGTTTTCGAGACAACTGCTGACATTGGCTCTGAGCCATCACACAGACATGCACCCGCACGCACTCACTCACGCGCACACATACAGGCCTACCCTCTCTCTCAGACAAGACCGCATTCATGTCGATTACTAAAACAATAGATTAACCATGGAGGATATACTTTGCATGTCCTTCTAAAGCCTTACCATATACCGTATGTGTAAAGCATTTCCTAAATGGTTAACATTTTTTTTTAATATTCAGGAAGCTTTAAAGGATTTAGAGAATAAATAGCTTACAATATATTTATATTTTATTGTATTCACATCTATCTTCCCTGGTGTGCGGTGATTGTGTTCGTGTGAGCTGAATTTGATCAATGAAATCCACTGGCGGGTAAAATGATGTCATCTCCTGGAATTGTAGTATGACATCACCACGTTGTCACTATCGGGCAGTGATTGATGCCAAAGGGACAGTAAGGATCTTGGCATAGTAGCAAGAGTGGAGGGCGTGCCTGTTTCTTGTTAGCAAATCAAGCTTTGCCGTGTATTATCAGGACTGCCAAGCTGCCTAGTCACTGTCGGATTACTGACCTTGCTTGCTGTTCGCTCACAAGAAATTTTCTCGTCACCTCCTTCATGTTTATAGTCGCTCTTGTTTCGATAATTTTCCTGATTAGTATTTTTTCATTTCTTGTTATTTTTGGATTAAGTTTCATGTAATTGAACTTTTACCATTTTGTGTTGTGTGTTTTCGGGAATCAAAAATTCCTGCCATTTGCAAAAATGTTTTTTTTTTTTTGATCATGTTGACTTTTCCTGGTTTTGTGTTGCCAGTGTTTTCTGTTTACATTTTGTCAGTCCTTTGTTTTTCTGCAAATACTTTTTGTACCGTCGTTTGTCTGAATCTACGTTTGTGGGATCCGCTTTCCATCTGGTCCATTTTTGGATCGTGTCACTAAGTTAAGGCTCCCTCAACTTTGGTTGACTCCAACTCTCGCTATTTACATCTTTTTATTTTTTTTACATCGGTGAAGGTTGACAGAAGTAATGAGTATATTTTTTTAAAAAAAGAGTAGAACATGCAGGCATCTGTTTTCAGTGTTGGAAGTGAAAAGTAAAAACATTTTCTCATGTAAAGGATATCTTATCTTAAAGTACAGAAACGTGAGAAATATACCTAAGTACATTAACAAAATACTTCCCACCAACGCATAATATAAAAAAAGCTGAATCATAATTTTATGCATACATTTTTAATTTACTAACCCACTTACCTGAGCATCGTCTCTGCAGGGCAAGAATCTCCATGTGGAGCCCGTGGAGCAAAGTGAGGTGCTCCTGCCTGAGGAACATCATGCTCCTCTCCACGCTCTCCAACTGCCGGGTCACATTACTCTCTTCGGCCATGGCTGGGTTTGCACTCACAGGAAGATGGACGGGGGTCCAAATGGGGCTTACCAGGTTGGGACTAGGCTTGGAAGTTGATAACTTTCCAAGGAAAATAGCAGGAATGAATGGGAAGCAACAGGAATTCACAAAATTGAAGGTTGGCTCTTCAGTGGGAACTTTGATCAAATTAGGGAAAATATATTTGAGCATAATGCTGAGTAAAAAAAAAAAAAAAAAATCAGATTTCATCCAAGTAGAGTTATGAGCTGTCGGTTGTTGGATTTTTTTGCTTTGTGTTGCAAGTCAAAATTTGAGGGAAGAGCCAACTTTTACGTATTGCATCTCGAACGAAGTCAAAAGCAAGTAGAGTCAGCCAGTAAGGCTGTCATGGACCTCAATGTGGGGAAGGAGAACTACCTATTTTGCATGACACAACAAAATTGCGTTTCTTTTTTTACCCGCAAATTCCAGGTGAATCCTCATTAATATTCATAATTCTCATGGAAAGTGTCCGATTTGGAATATTTCCAAAATCCTCTCGTTTTTTTTTTCACTGCTTTGAAATTATAAATGGTACATACATTTTACGCAAACCCGCGGAGCCTCATCACGGCTTTCAAATACGTCATCGCCACAGAAGTTCTCGGTGAGGTTCTGCCCTCGAGAGCAAAGGAAATTAACATTCGGTGAAGGTGGATAGAAAAATGTTTCAACTTACCTTAGGTTTTAATATAAAGCATTTAAAACAATAGACTCCCAAGGCACACAAACATGCAACTCTCCAGTATCGATCTTGCAGGCTGCATCCATTATGCGGCTCCGATTGACGTGAAGCAGTCTCAAAGTGATGAATGTGTTCACTTGTGGCTGCACAGAATAACCGAACATGGTTGCCACTCCAACTCGGCGTCTCCTTCGTTTCTATCGAGCACCAAAGCGCCCACCATCAACGTGCGCGACATCCTTTGGGCTCGCCCCCACGACCCCCGGTGTGAGGCGTCGAACGACTAGGGATGGATGAGTGCTGCTTGTGTGGGGGAGGGAGTTGGTTGTCTGGGTAGAAGGCGAAGGCGGGGGGAAACAACCACACCGTGATGAGATCACGCGAGAACTGACATCGGGCCACGGAGGCGACGTGACAGCTGATTGGAGACAACGTTAAAGTGACTTAAACTGTATTCTGTTTCCGAACTAATAATAATAATAATTCATTTTATTTAAAAGCGCCTTTCATGCCACCCAAGGACAACTAAGGCACATATTTTACATTCAATAAATTCTACGACACGTCTCATAAAACGAATACATACTGAAATGACACGGGTCAACTGCAAAATGTAAGAGATGGCTTTTTGTGTCCCTAAACGTACGTATTTTTGACGACTAAAAATGTTTTTTTTTTATTTCTAACACAAGATAATTGAGGTATTCAATTTTTTTTTAATTTGATCTTAAAGACTCTGCACAATATCGAACGTAACCCTAATTTATAATTGCTAAATATATTAACTAAGAACTAAAAAAGACTAGGAAAACGTTCTAGAATGATTCACTTTATTATAACATAAAAGAGTGTTATTTCAGAAACATAAATTGGAGTACAAGATACAAAATAATCTTCGCCAAAAAAATTTACATTGAGCAAAGGTTGCTCTCAGGCATACAAACTGGTATCTTGTGCTTTGTAATTCATGAGATAGTCTTCAATGAGATCAATGAAGTCCATTAAAAAATGAGGCCAAGAGTTGCAGATTTTCATATATTTACAATATTTAGTTAATAAAATAATTTTGATTAACTAAATACAGTACTGAAAATATAATTTCAATAATGTCATGATGCATGTTTGAAAATAATAGAAATCATGTTAAACATCCATCAAATTGTCAGAGTGTACATGATGCCAAAACTGCTGCCAATTATCAAAACGCCGCTTCACAATCAGAGTGCAATCACACTCACAAACACACGTCTAGTTGCAAAAAAAATGACAAATACATTACACTGGTCTAAAGAGGTACCGTAAACTGCCCACATTGGCTAAATATCTTGTTCTTTTTTTTTTTTTTTTTAAATAAGAACAGTATATTGATCTTTATGTAAGGCTGCTGTGATATAGACCCAATAGAGATTTCATTTCCTCATTTGAACTTGGAACTGCTGGTGTGCGTTCAATTGCGAACAATTTGAGGGGGTCAACTGCAAGTTAAGACCAGCCACGGTTTTCTAGTCCTTCTGCGTCAGTGGATTTCACACCGACGCAGATGGACTCGTCCTTGAACAGCAACATGTTGATAAAAATGTTAGGTAAGGGAGACAACAAAAACACAATTACTCGTTTCAAATGCTTTGAAGCAATCAGTTAATTTCATCTTCAACGCAACACTACTTTCAGAACAAATAAATTACAAATATGCACTACTGTATTTAACCCCCCAAACAAAACGCTAATATAATTTCTTGTTTTTCCTCAGGCCAAAGCAGATCAAGTGCGACTTTATGGTGAAATTTATGTGTTTAATAATTTAACTTCCTATACAGTCGTTAATGTAATACGGGTTCATGATCGTGTGCGACGCTAGATGCGTGGTGCTGATCTTATGTCAATCCTCTCTGTTTAAGGGTTTTGTCGCCATCTTGTGGCAACTGTTGGCTACTTCCGACAGAGTTCAGTCCCTGTCCCCTGCAAAGAGCAAGATGTTCAATGTATCCGCAGATGTCATTTGTTTTTATTCCAACATTAACCTCACAACCTGGCATCTAACATAAATAATATAACACGTCTACAAACACTAACGATTAAGAGAGTGAATACACTTCTCCTCTTTTGCCAATAAAGGAGACGTATCCAAATCTGAATTTGTTACTGTTTGTATTGAAATACTTGGGTCTCTGGAGTGCCTGCCCACCTATCATGCCTGACATTATGAAATTAAACCATGTTTAAATAAACCAGTGGGTGCCCTTTGCACAAACGCCGTTGATTTGACATCTGGAGATAAAGAAGACTCAGATAACATCAGAAAAACTGAATACATTTGAAGTCGCTAAGTTGGCTGCTAACTCATCCTCTGTTCAGCTTGGTGAGAAGAATTTTTAAAAAGTGCATTGATTGGCATGAGACAGAACTGCCCTCTACAATTAAGTGATTCCAAAACGGTGTGTGACGTGTGTGGATTTTAAGTGTGCTGTAATTCTTTGTCATTTGTGTACTTCAATGGAATAATATCACAGATATGTTACTAAGACATCTGGGAACCTTTTTAAACTATGAAAAAAATTAAATAAACTCATGTCCCCTTTAATGAAGTACTGTAATTGCTGAGTGTGCTGCCCTCTAAAGGCCATGTTAAGAATGGCACTTCCCACCAGTCTGGTCATTGCAGCAACGGCAGACAGACAACATCCAAGAAGGCTATTTATAGACTATTTCACAGGCTTCCTGTTTGATTACAAACATAGTGGTGACACTTGGTTGCTGCATTCCAACATTTGGATTAGCAAACGGGGCATTATGGCGCTCATTTGAGATCTTCACTGCTCAGGATCTCTTCCATGTTTGTGCATGGGCCAAGTATAATACGCCACCACCCTGAATTAACATTTTACAGGGATTGCTTGCGCCACATTTGACAATGATTAACAATGCTCGTTCTCAAAGAGGCAAACAAGTCTTAAAAGCTTCCTGAGGTAGCAGGTGGCTTGAAATTAAGAAGATGTGGGAAAATAAGAGAAAAAAGACATCACCTTTGCATAACTAGTTTAAATAAAGTTTAGGTCTGGTTGAGTAATTCATTCAGTGGTCAAGGAAGCCACAGCCATACGCCATGTACCGTAGCGCATACGATGATATGCATTTAACGCCATGAAGTGTTGCTTCAAATGGAGGTACTTGTGGGCTTCACTCACCATGAGCTACATTTTAGAACACCCAGTGGGCCTTTCCAATGATGCAGTAGTGAAGTGTTAGTATGTAAAGGAGTAGAAAAACAAAAATGGGCAAAAGTGAACCCAAAATGGATTCTCCCTATGTTTCTTTTTCTTTCTTGGCGTCCCGAGTACTGCTCTTCAGGAAGTCGCTCCTGAGCAGGCGGTAAAACAGAACGATGTTCATGACCGTCATGATGGCTAGGCCCACGCTGCCCAGCGTGTAAGCCATGAGGGGCACCTTATCTCTGTTGAGCACCAGCCAGCGGGTCATCCAGGCCAGCGTGTTGATGCGGAATACCACGTAGGTGCCCAGGTTGATCATGCTGTTGACCCGGTAGACGGTGCCGGCGGCCAGATTGGCCATGCGCAGGATCTGCCTGAGATGGAGGAACACCGAGTTGATCTCCACCAACAGGGCCACCACGGCGAACCCGATGTAGCAGGATGTAAACACAGACAGGCCAAAGCAGGTGATCACCTAGGGGGAGACACAGGAAAGAACCATGTTATGGTGGAGAACAAAACAGAAGAAAACCTTTGTTGCCTTGACTTGTGAGTCTGAGTTTATTTTGTGATGCTGCCCATAACTCAGCACTGCCATCATAAACTCTCTCTCCTCATTGAAATAAATGGAAATCTCATTTCTATGCCCCCCAAAATACCCCAATGTTTCTCATTAGGACGAGTGTTTATCATGCCACCGAGAAAGTTTCACGTTCTAACAACAAATGTTCTCATCCTAACGAGAAAATTTTTGTCATAGTTCTGTTCTGTCTATCTCCAGCAGGTGAAATTGGAGGGCCGTCCTCTCCCGTTCCATACCTGTTTCCCATCATGTCATCCACTCTCGCCTTTTCCTTGTCTTTTCTTGACAAGTGATTTTGCGCTTTTGGTTAGTCCCATTCTTATTCCTGGTTATTCGTTACCAGCGTTTTATGTTGTACTTTGTCGGTCTTGCGACCTTATTTTGCAAATAAACCATTATTGTATTCGATCTTATCCTGGTCTGCGTTTGTCCTATTCCGGACTGGTCCGAAATCTTAACAACTTTCTCGTTTTAATGTTACTAAATAGACTTAACAGTATAAAGCTTGCTCATGTCATCTGGCTATGTGTTTTATTTATAAATGAAGTTAAAATACATCAAGATATGAAGGAATATTGAAGACCCTGTCGAGACGTTTCAGCAGGTGACAGGATTTTGGGGAAAGGCTAAAAAGAAGGGAAAGGTTAAAATGCTGTTGAATAACAACTAACACTAAATAGCCACAAGATGGCAGCATCGAAAAGGAACGCAATTGAGCGATGAGGGCCTGAGGGCTTTCATGACGTGTGACAAAAATGACAAGGTAACATCCGATGTTTGAGCCCACCCACTCGCCATCCCGACTTAAGTGACGCAAGTGAACAAACAGTCTGACAAATTGGCGTCATGGGACTACGTTGAGACAGTTGCAAATGGAGCAAGTCACCCATGACAACTTGGCTTTGTTGTGTCAATTTGATTTGTCCAGCCACACTACAGTCAATAGTAAGAACAGGCTTGCTTATTTTCAATATCTAACATGTAATTCGGAGGAATGATTATTTCATGTGTATTTGAAAAATGGGCCACTCCTTGGGAGCGTGGCAAAGTGCAGAACTTTCTCCATTTATAAATACTGTTTTCCCGGAGACCAGGGGTGTCCGAACTTGGTCCTCAAGGGCCGCTGTCATGCCCGTTTTCCAGCTCTCTCAAGAGCAACACACTTGAGTTTAGATGATCAAATCCGGGGCAATTTCAGTTTATGTAAAGAAATAGACAAAAATTTACATAAACATTTAAGTGTTCCTAAAACATTGCGGGAAAAATGTAATTTGATGCTCAACTGTCGTCATCTGCAGGCATATAGTTATGCTCATATTATTATCAATTTATTATGGGGAAAATACCTTTTTTTTGAGAACTTTAAAAACATTCTTTTCGGCAGTACAATGTCATTGTTATTGATGTAATAACTGAAGTGAGTTTGTGTTACTATCATCAGGAAAACTATGGAAAATGGCTAGATAACAGCACTTAGATTGTCCAAAGAAATGAACAAGAAACTGAAGAAAAAAGTGTGTTTTACTAATAATGTTTTCCATGTCCATGTTATCTTTCTTTGGTTGCAAAATAAATCGCGCATGTTTTCTGCTGTTGTCCACACAACACTGCTATTCAAAGAAAACTAGAACACCAAAAAAAAAAAAGGCGCACACAAGTGCTGGTTGCCCACATATAAAACAAGCATGATAAACATTATGACTCAAATTTAATAATAATTAACAGTCAAAGAGGAGTGATCTCTTTTTGGAAATTAAAATTAATCCAAATTTGCTTCTGTTTCTCTTACACACTCTTAACGGTATACATCCAAACTTTCAACTCTCTGGACTAGATGACAATGGTGACAAACACCATTGCGTTTCTGAGGACAGAGTGCGCCAGCAGGGTCACAAGCAAAGGCTAAAGAGCAACGTGTATAGGACCCAATACTGTTGAGCATGGAACAAAAGGCACATTGATGAGTTGGTCATTTTAGAACAAAAACACTGGAGGCCACCAGCACATATCTGGCTTTGTTTTCACCTCCTGCGACAGGGATTTTAGGCAGAGGTAGAACTACGAACATGGCGGGTATTTACCACACTGCCTAATGTCTCTTTAAACTGCAACAGTGTCACCACTGTGCAAGAGGAGTCTCAAACTGAAAGCAGTGGGGCAAATGGGCGTGGCCAAAACAAGGATGGGTCTATCAGAAGATGGGTGTCAGCTCTTAGAAGACAACACAAGACTGAAAAACATCCGTATTGACAGTCATTTGGGAAACACTCCAAGGCGAATTTGACAAACATTTGCATGACAACGCTTAAAGGTCCACAAAACATCCTGATGTCACACAATCTTGGTGCACACAGAAGGGACTTAACACATGCTCTTTAGATTGATGGTGGTTTCCTCATTTATGGTTATGGTGTTTGTGCATATTGCCAGCAGCCAATCACAATCTCCCATCCCTATCTTGGTAGTTAAACCCTGATAGATGAGTCACTATCATGGCCATTGCATTGTGCAAGTGGCGAGGAATGTCATTAACCTCACACTCAAAAGATGCACCGTAAAAAGACACGAAAAGGGAGGAAAGTTCAAACGGCCCGGAAGCCATTCATGGAGCAAAGAGGCCAATTTCTATGCTGCCTTTGGCCACCCTGATAGAAGGGGAATCCCGGTAATACTCAAAACAGCTCTTGGAAACGGTTGGACATTTGGAATATTTTACATCGGTTGGAATTTAACAGTCAGAGAGAAAAAGCAGCCGCGCTGCAGCCAGACAGATGTTGTAGGGCGCCTGGGCTTTGAAACTCACAACTAAATGGGGAGTGAAAAGAAAATGAGGAGTTGTTTCCCAGCAGCCACTTTCTTAGAAAAGGCTTTGCACAAGATTCCACAAAAGTCCACAAAAGTACAGCAAAAGGTTCAGAAATGGGTACCTCTGTATTGTGAGGCCAACGCGCTAACCACAGGACCACCGGGCCGCCTGAATGTAATTGGTTACTTAATTATTTTTTTCAACTGAATTGTAGAGGATATACTGTAAGTTACATTCATGATGCTTTTTAAAATTATTTATCTAATTTTTTTTTTTAATATCACAAAATCCTGCCATTTTGTAGACCTTTTTTTTTTTAAATAGACACTAGGTAGAATTAGAGCATGGGTGTCAAACTCATTTTTGTCGCAGGCCACTTTGGAATTATGTCTTCCCTTGGAGGGTCGTTACAACAGTGAAACCGAATAAATGTTTAATTATCACATCATATTCTTCTACACCCAAAAAAAATGGATTCCTAGTTTTGAAATCAGTCAAATGTATTTTTGTTTTTTTTTGTTCAATTATTGTTCAAGTGAGTGTGAACGCCTTTAAATGACTGCAAAATCTCAACGTTGTTTATTACACATGACAATTTGACATTTTGGTTCGTTTTAGTAACGATCATGGAAGTTGACACACACACTTGATTTGCTTTCGCGGGCCACATAAAATGATGTTGCGGGCCGGATCTGGACCCCGGGCCTTGAGTTTGACACCTGTGAATGAGAGGATTCCGGACAACACCTTCGTGTAGAGGAATTCTGCAATAGCACCACAGGTGTGTGAAGATTATAACACCTGTCAATCACAACTCCCGCCCTGCTGTTTTGGTTACACGTGTTTTTGATATGTCATATCACACACACTGCAGCTGAACATTATCAGCATGGAAAATATTGACTCATTTCATGGAGTAAAAGCGCAATTACAAATCGATGTAAATGGATTCGTTGAAGTGTTAAGTCTGGGCAAGTGAGTAATGTATGTCAACCAAAATTAAATGACAGCCAACAACACTGTTGTCGCATTTTGTGCCTATGCTGCTTGCAACACTAATGCGTCCAACACGGTGCATTACTTGCACATGTATGTCAAATCCATACCGGAAGCTGACGAAGCCATGCATATACAGTAGTGTTTCTGAAGTTTAAAAAAAAAAAAAAAAAGACATGTATTTTATTTTTTGAAGTTATATGTGAACAGTAGACTATTGTGACAAAACTGTTGTCTTTGCATGACGGTTTTTCCCCCCCGAGTGTAGATCAAAAAAAGAATGGTCGCTTTTTCAGTCAATAGAGGGATTGTCAACCATGCAGCCGCTCCTTAGGAACAGTAATGATTAAACCAGAGTTCAACGTTTCAAAAGACAGGAAAACATCTCGAGGACAGCAGGTGGTGGTGCCCGTGACTGCGATCATGCGACTTGAATCAACTGCTGTCGCCTGACAGCAAGTCACGTTAAAGCTATGGGCATATTTGGATCCGATTCATCGGATGAGCCTTAAGGAGGTCATCCATCATATTTCCACGTTGCATCATAATGATGTTGTTGAGGAAATGTTCTCCTCTATTACAGTTGAGCCCGAATACCAAAAGTAAAGACACTAAATTAAGAGACTACAAGAAGAGCACTCAGTAGTGCAGACTGTCCTCCCGTGCATATATGAAACGATGATTGGAGCCATGAAACAAGGTGCGGTTGCCTTGCCCGTCAACATAGCTTGAAGGGAATAAATTCCTCCACAAACCGCTCATACGTCAGCTCTAAATAAATACCGCCTATTTCGTTGAATTAATTCATGCTTGTCTTTCCCTCTCTGCAGCCTCTTTAATATGGATGGCACATAACGTGTTGAACCGTGCGACCCACCCTCGGGCCTCCTGAAGACAAACAAGACCGGCTTGCTCAGTTCTGTGTGGCGGAACAGGACATGTAGACTGACACTCTTGTCTTCTAATTCCAATTGACTTGACAAGTGCCACTGTATAACAAGTGTCTTTCGTTGTTATGTTCTGAACCATACACTCCCTGATGAGTACCGGTACGTCCCATTACAACAAGAAGTGCAGCTATTGGTTTGTAGTTTTTTGAGGGGTTGTACAAGCTGCGAAGAGTGGGGGGACTTGAGGGGATGGTGTAAGATGTTTTGAGGCAGTACAAGCAGAGAGTACTGTCGGTAAAATATGGAGTAGGGTTACAAAACAGAAATATAGGGGGTGGGGGGGTGTGTACGTCTTTATGGAATGCTACTCAGGAAGTGAGAGGTTTGGTGTTGGGTGTGTTTTTTTCACAAGGGAGTTTGAGGCTCAAGTGGACACCAGATGTCTCTCCTGTTGAGTGGGTCAACACACAGAAAATGAGGGAGGACCCGAGGGGTCCCGCACTAAAGGCAAGAGACAGCTGAGGAATAAACACATTCATCATATCGTTTACCGCACAAAAATGTCCACATTGCCCTCCCTTCATTGTGTGAAATGTTTGCTCTTCATGCAATGTGTTGAGTTCTAATCTAATAGATTATTGCTGGAGGGTAAAAATGTCAGGAGTTCACGGTTAGCCAAAGGATTGTAAAGACCTTACCCTAAAAGCAAGTTGGAGAGCCATTAAAAAAAAAAGACACTAGACATATCTGAATACATTTGATTGTGTAAGAAACATCCGTTATATACGGTATATTCCTCAAGAAATCAAGAAAGGATGAACCACAAGGAGCTTCACTCAGAATATGCTCATGTTCAACATACAACACTGTTTATGCAAACGCAGACTTTTGTCGGACATCACAGTTAAAAGTGACAACATGAATGATGGCCTTGTATTTAAAAAAAAAAAACTTTACTTAAAACATTGTTTGGTTTTAACCCTGGTTTGATCTTTGCGCACATCACTTAAATTTATATTATTTGTCAATATTCAGTGGGTGATCCTGTAATACAAGGTGTCAAACTCTAGGCATAATCTGGCCCGCCGCAACATTTTATGTGGCCTGCGAAAGGAAAACAAGGAGATCAACTTCCACGATGCTTGCTAAAATCCGTACCAACATTTCAAATTGTCATATATATCAAACAATAATGCTGAGATATTGCAAGCATTTTCTTGTTACGTTATAACAGTAACTTCTACAACAGTTGAACAAACTACTATCCTTGACTTTTGATTTCAAAATGAGTTCCATCCATCAATTGTGTACTGTATATGTACTAATACGAGGAGGTGATTCAACATATAACCGGTTTCACAGTCAGAATAGCCGGTTCGAGGGAAACTGTGACCACAATAAATTTGACACCTCCGCTATAATGGATTGCCTCGGATGTTGGAGATTCCCCTGCATACTATTTTTGTTTGTTGGTTATACGAAACAGCTCTTGGAAATATCCATTTTTAGGCCTGTAAAACTGAAGACTCCCATCTGAGGTTACCAAATCAGATGACCCTGCCACAAGAGGAGGAAGAACAGGTATGTCCAAAACAATTTGGACATACACAAAAAAAAAAAAAAAACGGTTTGGAAAAATTGTTCTCCTAAAAATAAAAAAAGGGAACCAAGAACTGGTTTCAGATGGAATGACGGTCATGTGGCGATTAATGATGCAGTCTGCTGATCAGTTCTGAGGTTATGGTTTCCAACGTAACACATTCATAGCACTTGGAATGCAATTTAAAAAAAAAAAAAAATTCAACTATACCAAATAAAAGCGGGATGACATCGATTTCTGGAGACAAACATGGTTCAAACTGAAACAGAGCATCTGATAATAAGAAACTCACGTGTTAGTGCATGACATTAAAAACTGTGACCTAATCTGGTGGAAGTCCCCCTTCCATAACCATGACAATTAACCACAAAGAGTGGACTCCACAAGACAGCGAGAGATGACCTACGGTATCTGGCAGCAAGATTTAGTTCTTAGGAGTGGTTTTTATCCTGGAAAATCCCACAGCTGTTTGATTGTGTCTAGAGTTGGATAATTTGAATGTTGCATCAATGATTTTTATTCCTCGCTTAAACCATCCATCCATCTTATCCTATCTTAGCCTATCCCAGTAGACTTTGAGCAAGACCGCAACATTTCTTGTGGATCGTCAGGTACATTAGCATCCAAACTCCAAAAGGATGTTATTTTTCCATTGTTTCGTTTTTTTAAAAAAAATATTTTTAGATAGCGTTACAGAAGAGCACTCAAGATGGCAAGGAGGAAAAATAAAAGGATGACCACTGAAATGGGGCATTGGCATTTTAAGGCAACAGAAAAGTATTAGATATTTTTAGATGGCGTTACAGAAGAGCACTCAAGATGGCAAAGAGGAAAAATAAAAGGATGACCACTGAAATGGCATTGGCATTTTAAGGCAACAGAAAAGTATTAGACACGTCTAAGCCAATGCGTAATTGGATTTTGGATTTACCCTTATGCAAAGTACAAAAATATACTGACCACTACTCACACTGAGGCCATAGGTGACTAGCCTACTTAAAGCGCATGCTTTTCACATCCCTATTAGGGGGGTGGGGCAACCTACGTCTGGCAATAAAATAAGCAGACATCATTTCCCAGATGAAGCAATGTGGAATGACCGGGGCAACCTATGTCTGGCAATAAATAAGTAGACATCATTTCCCAGATGAAGCAATGTGGAATGACCATCAATAGTGGTTGTGGTATGCCCCCATAGCTCTCAAATAGCAATAAAAAGCAATAATATCCCTTTCAGTCATTAGGAAAGGCTAAAAGATTTTTTTTTTCCACTTGAGTATTTGCCCTGGCTTGAAACACTAGGAATGAACCACGCTCACCGCAAGGCATCTTGCAAATGCTAAAGACAGAACCAGCAACTGTCAAGACGACTGTGGATGATACAATGACATTTGTTTATACCTACATTTGATGGGGTAAATACAGACTGTGCCAACAAAGCAATTGCTCTATTTGAAATTAAGACAGTAATCCATTGCAATCCCAATTAGATTTTTCATCTGAGGCGCATTGTGCAGCATTCATTTCACATTCTGTGATAAGGTGGCGATGTTTGCGCGCGTGGAAAGCCTCACCCTCTTGAACCGTAACGCTAACCCACAGAGGAGTCTCCCAGGACATCATGTGACGTGTGCTGTCATGCTGGGATTCAAAACTTAACTTGAGTGCACAAATATTGGAGATGCTCCAGTTTGGTTAGCTCACTGACGATTATGCGCTATTGCACTATAGCCGGAGGAAAAGAAAGTCTCAAAGCTCAAGTTGGTTCAGGGTATTTTTATAGAATGAATACTGGGAGCAAACGTGAATAACAGTTGGGGAGGGGGGCAGGGGCACTTGGATGAAAGCAAAGTCTCATCCCTTCATCGCTCTGGTGACAAACTGCAGCCAGCTGGCACAAGCACAGCTTCCATTCATGGCTTTGCAGAAGGGCAAGGAAAGAAATGGAAGAAGGAATCGTCTTTTAACCCAACACTGAGATGGTGCGCAAACTGTTCAGGGCAAGTCTTTCAGAATGGTGTTCTTCAAAAACCATTTGATAAAGGGCTCCTACAATGATAATATTTGAAAATATTATCTATGGGGTAGGGAGAGGAATTACAAAAACGGTTCTTTTAAAAAAATACATGCTGTCAGTAACTACATATCTAGAAATCGTTTGTTTGGTCGCTCATTGTTCCGCTTATCGATTCCTCTTGAGTCACAAATGAGTGATGCCATCATACGCAAGAAATTTTAAGTTCCACTTTTAAGACATGGCATCAAGGCAGTGGCACTCTAAAGGTTGCTGTAATTTGACACGGAAAGATGTTACGCGGGAACTTCAAAGGGTTTCTGTAATCATGCAGAAGATATTTTGCAAACGCAAGTCAAATATGCTCCCTTTTTTTTTTTTTTTTTTAAATAGAGCACTTCTTGGGAATGTTAAGCTGATCCAACCTGTTCATGTTGATGACAATGATGTGCTGGCTAGAGAGTGCGAGTTTGACTTTGCGTTTCCCAACCGATTGTTGCTTTGTTCCGCCCTCACTTGTTCTTTGTAACAAGACAAGAAAGACAAGTATTTTGTCGTCGCCTCATTTACGCTTCTTGAGGGCCTGCTGGAGCTAGGGTCCGACCTACCTCTGTGTGTGTGTGTGTGTGTGTGTGTGTGTGTGTGTGTGTGTGTGTGTGTGTGTGTGTGTGTGTGTGTGTGTGTGTTTTAACGGTATTGCTGTGTACAGCCAGATTGTCCTCTTGCAACCTCGGGCTGCCTTTTATTGCAACCCAAATTACCGAAGAGCGTTAAGAGCTTATTGTGTTTTATGACTTACAACAACATGATGCGAGGCGAGCTCCCAGAACTGACTTAACTTCTGGTGTGTCACCATATCAAAGAGGTCATAGATGAAGTAACCTGTTGAGACAGAAAATGAATGTCATGATTATTTTTCGAAGGTTGTTCATTGATAAAAACACAATTCACTGTCACAACAGCCCCTATGGGCATATCAAGGCAATCCGGGGGGCTGCATCCATGACAACCATGATGGGAAACATGATGCGCCTTGGAGACCGGAGCTATTCATATCCACCGACACCCACCCACCCCCTCACAACCACGAGCCGTATCCATGGTGACAGCTTCTCAGAATGCTGTAAAAATAATGGCGTGGTGAGGTTGAAGGCGGCGGAGTGTGGGCGAGCGAGGTGCTTTGATGAGGCATGAACAAAGCCCATCATGTTGGACATATGACAAGATGTTTTTGTTTTAGGTTTACTTTGACCTGTTGTGAAGGTTTTAGGTCCTACCTAACACTGTACGTCACAGCAAACCAGGAAATAGTGCCTATTGTCATCCATTCAGAAAATATTCGGACATGTAGCTGTTATGGTGACATAAAAAAAAAAAAACTACCATATCATTCACTGCCAGCATTTTCAAAGCAGAGATCCCCATACTGTCGGTTTTCAAGAATTGTGACTATTTTTCCAGATCCAAAGAATATGCCAAAAGAAAGGGTAGACTCTTTCTGCACCATAAAAAAAGTTTGTTTCTACTTTCTTCCTTTTTTAGTAATCAGCAGAACATGAGATGGTTTCACCAATGGTTTCTGACCAAAAAGCTGAGAAAACAAGCTTGTAGTGAAACAGAACAACAGCTCACTGATGCTGATATTGTTGACGTTTTTGATGCCCCAAAATAAACAAAAATGAAAAACAAAAAAAACAAGTCAGAGAAAGAACATCTGATGGCCTTTTTTAAAATTAGTTAATATATTTAAAGATGAAATATGATGTGAACATGACTGACGGATGGCTTGAGTTGGATGTAAAGGGCCTTTTTACACAATCTCAGAAATGGGCGACAGACGTGCTAACCACTACTCACCTTGCCGCCCGTGTTTCTTCCATTCCGGCATATATCAATAGGAATAATTGCCCACCAAAATACTGTGATATTTTTATGTGGAAAATCAATATTTGAATGAGTTTACCATGAGTCTGCAACATTCCATCGTTCCATTCATCCATTATCCTCACAGGGGTGTGCTGGAGCCTATCCCAGCTATCTTCGGGCAGTAGGCTGGGTACACCCTGAACTGGTTGCCAGCCAATCGCAGGGCAGACATCAACGAACAAGCATTCACACTCACGGTCACACCTAGGGACAATTTAGAGTGTTCAGTTAACCTGTCATGCATGTATTTTTGGAATATGGGAGGAAACCGGAGTACCCGGAGAAAACCCGCACAGGCATGAGGAGAACATGCAAATTTCATACAGGAAGGCCAGAACCGGGATCGAACCCACGACCTCTACACTGTGAGGCGTATGGGCTAACCAGTCCGTCACCATACCACTTCTGCAATATCCCAATGGAGGGAAAATTCGAAGGGTGTCTAAACGTTGCTGATGCCAGAATAATGTTTCTGTGCATCATCAGCACAGGAGTCAGACAAGTTTCCACTGACTTCCATCCAAACCATGATTGGAGCCGTTGGCTGAAAAAAAAAAAAAAAAAGGCTTTCGATGGGGCGTTTTTTTTCCTCTCAAGCACTCTCAGGATCCTTAACTATTTAGTCCCATTTACAGAAAAACCTTGGACACATTGTCAGTCATCATAATCCTCACATTCAAGTTCAACCATTTAGTCTCCAGTACAGTGACATGGACATGGATGATTTTTTTTTATGAGTAGAAAATATTGTAGGAATTAGAAACATAAGACAGTCAATGTGTTCTGTCACTGACAAGTGCCAACATAATTAAACTATTACTCCTGCATGTCTCCCTTGTGGCTGCATTTTGTTTCTGCTATGAGCACACCCATGAAGAGAGAACAGAAGCTCATATTAACAGTAACACAAGCTGGATTTATCCTTGAGATGGCGGTGGAGTCGACAAACAAGGCCTTCATTCACCAAGCTATGATCGACTGATGAAATGCCATAACAAGGGTCATGCGGTGTCCCAGCGAACACGCGGAGCCAACTTCTCTTCAAAAATGAGCGTAACCTCAGAATCACACCACAGTCGTTAAGGGAGGCCTCAATTAACCAGCGGAAATAAACGGTGCAAACCAGTGACATCTTGGACTGTTGTTGCCCCAGTGACCTCACACAAGTGAGTGGGTGTGACATGTGGTGCCACAGACCGGTCATAATGCCCTCCATTGAGGCTCGTCTCAGCAACGCACTGCACACTGCGAGTTTGCAAGGCGGGGCTTCTTGACGGAATGTTAAGCATCCTGAGAATTCTTAGGGAAACCCAAGCAGCGTGGCACATGGCCAATTAAGCTGTGTTTCAGGGGGCCGGGGGCAACCCTTAAACTGTTGAAGGATTAATTAGAAAATAGCAACAGATGCTATTTTAGTACCATGGGCGGGCATGTGGACTCTGGTTTGGCAGATTGTTATTTAAAAAATAACTCAAGAACATCTCAGAATGGCCTAAGCAGACAGTGTCACATGCAGAACCTTTTTGCTGTGAGGTAACCACTGCAGCTTGGTATGAGACAAAAAGGGCAAATTTGATTTACACAAGTCAACAACCGAGTTGACATGGGAATAAGTCAATTTTAATTGGGAGTATATTGTGTGGAAGAAAGTCAAGTTTAGCAGGTAGGGCTTTTTTTGGAGACAAAATCACACGAATGAAAATCTGACAATATAACAGCAGTGCTCACTAAACATGGGAAGTATAGGAGCCACTATGACCTAAAATCGATTTGTTTGTTAATGCTTGCATTTTGTACATTTGGTCAGTAATCATGACTCTCCATTCAGGGTGGATGTGTTTTTTTTGACTGTGTTGTTTCATGTTAATTTCTGTATATTTTTATGGATTCTTTGTTTACTTTTATCGAAACGAGGTTCTTTTACACTCTATTCTTATGATGACATGTTTCTGGCGGTGATCCTGGTTTCGGATCTCAGCCAACCTCATCCAGATTCCTCCTGGTACTTGTGTGGGATTTCTCCTAGGACTTTGGCTTCCTCACACACTCCAAAAACATGCATGTAAGGCCTGCTGCTCACCGCACAATGTAGCCAAAACTGACTGGACTGTTGTGCAACATGTGTGGTTGATGAATCGTTTCTTCTGAGTAGCTGTCTGCATCTGGTTTTGTGGCGATTCCAAAATGGGATTGCCCATGACTGGCATCGCGACAGTGCAGGCACAACAGCCAATCAAAAATATCCATGAAATGTCATGAGGAAAATAAATAAAATGTGGAAGCGTAAGCACACTTTTCCTGTTGCAGTGTGTGTTTTGATTGAATTTTGTAAATTTGGTCAGTATTTACTCCTGACCATTCTGAATGGATGGGTAATCTAGCGCTCGTAGTTTTCTGTTTGTAATTGTACAATGTCCCTTTATTTTCTTTTATGCATCCTGTTATGTGAAATTGTATGTACACTTTTCTTTTGTTTTTTTTTTTTTTATGTTCACAATGTATGGTTATGATGTGAATTGCGCTCCATCTTCTAGACCGGATCACTTTTGGGGAAAAAAAAAGACCTTGGTGTCACAATGAGGGTTTTTGTTTTATGGTTAAATAAAGGTTTTGATTCGATACTTAAGCCGCCTGAATGGCTATTTTCCATGTGTACCCGGAGGAAATGACTGGCAACCAGTTTAGGATGGACTCTACTTGTTGTATTGCTTGCCTGAAGTCAGCTGGGATAGTGCAGCTCATCTCAGAGCCAAATGAGAGGATAGAAACAGAATGGCTTATATATCGGAGACAGGATGACTCCTAATATGTAACCAAGATATGGCTGTTGTTGACAAGAAGGAGTTTGAGTGCTTCGTGTGTCAACCTCACAGTGCAGAGGTGCAGGGTTCGATTCCAGCTGCGGCCTCTGTGTGGAGTTTGCATGTTCTCGCCGTGCCTGCGTGGGTTTTCTCCGGGTACTCCGGTTTCCTCCCACATTTAAAAAAACCCATGCATGGCAGGTTAATGGAACACTCTAAATTGTCCCTAGGTGTGAGTGTGAGCGCGAATGGTTGTTCGTGTGGTGTACCCTGCGATTGGCTGGCAATGGGTTCAGGGTGTCCCCCGCCTACTGCCCGAAGACAGTTGGGATAGGCTCTAGCACCCCCCTTGACCACCACACTACCCATTACATCAAACACTTTAATAATTCACCACATTCTAAAAGTATGCTGAATGTTGTGTGTGTGTGTGTGTGTGTGTGTGTGTGTGTGTGTGTGTGTGTGTGTGTGTGTGTGTGTGTGTATACACGAGGCACCCACCCATCTCGTATCTGTCCGTGATAGTTAATTACTCACCAATTGAAAAAGACACCAGTGCATGAGAAAACGCAGAATGTGTTTCTATCAAATCTTCAGCCATTTCTGGTTGCAGGAAAAAGCTGGAAAAGAAATAGTGCAATCAGTCAAGTGATGTCTCAACAGTGTGCGTGTGTGCACGCGTGCGTGTGAGTGTGTGTGCGTGTGTGTGTGTATATATATATATATATATATATATATATATATATATATATATATATATATATATATATATATACACATACATACATACACACGCACACACATACATATAAATATATACATATATATAAATCGTTGATTAGAATAGGAGGCTCATTACCAAAGCACTGCCCATATCGCGGTGACGAGGCTGTGCACGAAGGACGTGGAGATGTTTCTCCATTTTGACGTATTCCTGCGTGCAGCTTCCGGTACAGGTAGTCTGTCCAATCCAATGTTGAAAGATCGGAAAAATCCGTAGGATCCTCCAATGGTGAGAAGCACCGAGCTCAGCTCCATGGCCCCAAAAACGCGTAAAGAGCGCTAAGGGTTGACGGCCAAATGCACTTAATGTGACCCTGGCCGCCGTGGCTACCTAGCTGTTGTCAAGAGTAGCTCTACAAAATCACATGTCCGTGAAGTCACGCTCACACACTCTTGTGAAAGCCCAAAAGGGCGTTTGTTTAGATCTGTTGCTCTTCAGTGTTGAAATTAAGTGATGGTGAGTTCCGCGGCTTGCGAGGACTGGAGGTGTTTTGTGCCTCCGTGTTATCAGGCGAACACCCCGCTAGAGACGAATGGCCCGCCAAGGTGTGACAACTTGTTCAAAGTTGTGAAACAGCTCCTGTAGTAAAATCTCGCCCCTTGCTTGTGTAACTTTTTTACACCGAGCGAAACCAGACTGCTTCTCTCCACCCTACTACAAGGGGGCGCGGCCACGACAAAGCAAGACTTGTGCTGCGTTCAAGTTCCCCCAGAAAATCCACAGTCGTGGGTTTCTAATGCTATACGTACGATACAACGGCACGGAGAGAACACGCAAACTCCTCACTGGAAGGCAGGTAAATCGAACCCCGCACCTCTGCTCTGTGAGGCGGACTCACAAGGGTGAGGGTGTGTGTGTGCTGGAGCCGATCCCAGCTGTCTTCAGGCAGAAGGCGGGGGACACCCTGAACCGGTTGCCTGTCACGCTCACACTGAGGGACAATTTATTTTAGAGTGTTCAATCAGCCTGCCATGCATGCTTTTTTGGAATGTGAGAGGAAACCAGAATACCCGGAGAAAACCCACGCAGGCACCGGGAGAACACCGGGATTAAACCCACGACCTCTGCACATGCTAACCACTGGATCACTGCATTCTGTTACTGTTACTGCTTATAAATAAAAGGTTTGTTAGTAACTGTGTCATCCTTGACCACATACACGAGCTTTATAGAGCAATTTTAATAAGTCCATTTACGAATTATTGAACTCAATTGCTGCCAGCCATTTTAGAGCATTTGGACATTTTCAAAGACCCACAGGATATCGTGGTCATTGATCATGTATTTACACAAAACTACCATATGAAAGAAGAGACTCTCTCCTTTCATTAGGAGAAAAAGTTGGATTCTGACTTTCTGAGTTCTTTTATAATCAGCAGCAGAATAAAGGCAGGTTGCACAAAAGCTGCGTTGATCTCATTTCTAAAAATGGGCATCTATGTCATCTACTGGTGGGTGTGCATCACTACATGTCAATCGCGGCGAATGTTAGAGGGGTTGGAAAATAAAGTGAAGAAATTTCTTAAATAAAAGTAAATTTGGGAAATTAGGGAGGAATAGCTAAATTAAAGAAACTAATAGACAATCCAAAAAATGTACTCTAAAAATGCTCACCAGGCAGACTTAAAGCAGTATTGGTGAGGCTTTATTGAGCCTCACTTTTAGAAAATATTCACTGCACACCATCAAACAAAAATGTCTCAAAAAGTACTTGTTGCGACACTTTGCCCACACCTGTTATAACTAACCTGAAAACTAACATATTAAGTGATGCAATGTATCTGTAAATCAGCCCATCAACGATAAAAATTACAACTAAATTGAAATACACAATATACCACCAAAACCGAAGTTACAAATACTGTACAGACAATTGAAAAAATGATTGAATCAGTTCTCATTTATTCACTTTTACCACACACACAGTCGTTAGAAATGTGCTTTCAAAAACTTTTGGCAGTCATAGTCATTTTCTTGCTTTGAACAAAATATATTTCTGTAATATGTAGATTGGGTTAAATTCAGCACCAACCCATTTTACAAATCTGCGGGGGGGTTGCATTTCAATTTTACGTTTTAGCGTTGCCTCGTTGAAATGACAAATTACGAAGAGGTTTGAACGCCTCAAACTTTACAAAACAACTGATACGTCACGATGTACCACGGAATTGTGGGAAGAAATAAAATCAACAAAGACCAACTTCCGGGTTGTCCTAAAGTCGGTCACGAGCAGAAGAGCAGAACAGTCGAGTCGACCGGCACACGCTCTTGAACGCATCACACAAGTGTTGTTTGCTGTAAACACAGGTCAGGTTGTTCCAGTTGTATCTAGTATCTAATCATTAGGGGGAAAGGTGAGCGTCTATTCTTTTTAATACACTTGTTCAGCGATTTCAACTATTTTTAACATCTATTTGGGATGGTTGTATGACAGTAAAGTCACTCAGGGAACTGAAACATCTGGTTGAAAAGTATTTTATTTTAACTAAAAATACATAGTCCTACATTGTTTTGTCATTATATTAAATGGGCAGTTTGGTTATTTTGCATGCATTTTTTTTGTGATACCATTGCATGCGTATACAGTACCTCACTTACAGTGTGGGTGTTTGTTTTTTTTTTTTTTAGTTAATCGTGTTTCATGAATTATTAATTCACATAAATATTGATATTAATCTTACACGTCAGACATAATCTTAAACATATTGAATTTTGGGGAATGCAGTGTGAGAATTCATCCCTCACAAAAAGTACAGAAGTTCAGTGGAGTATTTGTAATAGCAAAGCCAGCAGTAACCCACCCAACTAGTGCATTTACAACATGTGATCCATGTTTCGACAGTATGAATCCTAACGAAGCACAAGATCAAGGTGAATATTTGGAGGCGGTGACTGCAATGGTTTGTCAGGAGGACGACCTCACAGATGGGCAGTATGTCACATGACACCACTTCTGACAGGAAACTGCAAGGTGTGTCAGAAAGGTTCTAGGACTGATGTCACAAAATTTCAAGTCTGAACTTTGAGCTTTCCTCTTCACTGTGGGCTAAATGATAGCACATCTACAAAAGAGATCCTGAGATATTTGCCTCATTCAGTACGCGAAAAGATGTGATAGTTCTATCAAAACTCGTCATGCCAACCTTCCTGTAACACAATGCCCGAGCATCCTGCACTTCCTGGCGGAGAAGAACATTGCTGTGCTTGAGCAGCCTCCCTACTTATCCGATCTGGCCTTTGATTTTTTTTTTAACTCATATTTTCTCTTTCCAATGCTTAAGGGGTTTTGAAGACACAAATGGGCAGTTTTGTAGACATGAAACATCAAGTTTGCCAGAAAAGGTTGGGAAAATGTGTTCGATTCCAGTGGGATTACTTCAGCAGTGAAACCTTGCGCTTGGGATTTGAAATGTATCTTTTGTGACTGCGGTCATAGAACTTTTCTGACACACTTCGTACATTCATAGGATTAACATTGCAGGCTCTATAAATATGACTCCCCCTTTTTGTTTGTAATCAAGGATGAAAGTAGTCTCTGTGGCAGACCAGAAAGTGTTGCTCGTCCGCACTGAGGGTCAGTACAGTGCAGTTGGAAGTCAGTGCTCTCATTATAATGCTCCTCTGGTTAAAGGTAAAATTTCTACTTCTCCAAATTGCAACTGTTCAGCTCAGAAATTGTGTCAGTTTACACATGTTTACACATTCCAGGAGCACTGGTTGGCAACAGAGTGAGATGCCCTTTCCATGGTGCATGTTTCAATATTAAAACTGGAGATATTGAGGAGTATCCAGGCCTGGACTCTCTACCTTGCCACAAAGTAAAATTAATCTTAACTTTTTATCATGCCTTTTTTTTCCCAACATCTTATTTAAAGTATCTCGTCCTTCTTCGTCATAGTATGTTAACCATTTTGACAGGTGAACGTTCGAGATGGAAAGGTGTACGTTTCCATCAAGAAACAGGCAAGTGAACGTATGTTAAGTAGATTGACGTAATGCTGTATTGGCACATGTTGAACAATTTCTTTGTGTCTCCCCACAGGCTCTTAAGCAGACCAGACGTGTGAAGGAGATGTGCAGTGTTTTACCAAACATCACACATACCATCCTGCTCGTAGGAGGGGGTAAGAACAGGTTCATGCTTCCGTCTGTGAATGGATCTGCTTCTGGGGATCAGTTTCATACTGATATTCTGTGAGTTCAGGGCCCGCGGCCTTGGTGTGTGCGGAGACTCTCCGCCAGAACTGCTACCAGGGCCGAATTGTCATGGTAACTAAAGACTCTTTGCCTCCTTATGACAAGCCCAAGCTGAGTAAGGTAAGACTTCGCCCCACCTTGCGCTTTTCTTTAAAGAAGTACATTTGGCTTATAAATTGGAACCTCGAAGGTTGAACACAATTTATTACGGCTTGCTGGTTGACACTGATTATTTCAGATTTAGAATACTTGTTCCCATTGGACATAATGGAAGTGACATTCTCCTGAGGTCAAACTACCATCATAAAACCATCATTATCTGTACAGAAAATTCTAAAAGTATCTGTAATGGGTTGAAGAAATAAAGGGGTACTTTTCAAATTCCAATTCTACCACCTTAAGGGCATTCAACTGCAGAGGTTCCACTGTATTTCCATTTGTGCCATTAGATAGTAGATTTCCAAGAAGAAAAGCCAATGAAATGTTATCTTGTTTCAGGCGTTGAATGAGGACAGCGGCAAAATTGTCCTCCGCTCTAGTGAATTTTTTCAACAATATGGGATAGAAGTACAGCTGGAGCAAGAGGTGACAGAGAAAGATTGTGCCATATGTTTAACAATGTGCAACAAAGGCTTATGTTTTCGGATCTAAATTCAGGTGGTGAATGTAAACACAAGCGATAAAGCCGTGACGATGAAGGATGGCTCGTTGCTGCGTTACGACCAGCTTCTTATCTCCACAGGCTGCAGGCAAGACTTATCTTTTTTCTCAACAACAGCTTTTTATTTCTTTTCAGACTGCAAAAACACGTGTGAAAAATGTTGATATTGACAGAGCGAGGCCACTCAGTTGCCCGGGTAGTGACCTGGCAGGAGTGAAGTTACTGCAGAGGTATGAAGATGCCAAAGACATTCATGCTTCCTGCCTGGGCCACAAGGCTGTTGTCGTTGGAACCTCCTTCATAGGTTGTCATGTTTTTTCTTCGTACATTTTAACGAAATACACACACGTTTTTTTTTGTTTGTTTTTTTCAGTTTTTTTTTTTTTTTTTTTTTAACACCTTAATCTCCACGCCTCTCATCCATCCATGCATTTTCAATAGCACTTGCTAGGGTTGTACATCAGCTGGAGCTTGTCCCAGATTACTTTTGAGTATTTTTGTCATTCAAATGTTTCATGGTTGTTCAGAACACTGTTTTTGTGACATCAAAGTTCAAAGAAATGTATTCATGTTATGTAAAAATAATTCAAACACTACTGGTGGAAAAACACGTTGACAATAAACCACTTTGTCTTTGCATGGTTAATGAGTTACATTTGAATTCCCTAATTCTCATACAAGTGCTCCTATAAATCAATAAAATCCTTAAGACATACAGTAACTTTTGTAAGTGAAATGGGATATGGTGAAGCTGAAGTGTTAGTTTTTAATGCGAGTCCATTCATGAACTTATTTTTCCTTCTGTGTTGTTTTTGCCGATTCATGAGTTATTCACGTGTGTGTGTGTGTGTGTGTGTGTGTGTGTGTGTGTGTGTGTGTGTGTGTGTGTGTGTGTGTGTGTGTGTGTGTGTTTTCTACCTAGGTATGGAGGTGGCATCCTATCTAAGCAACAAAGCTTCCAGTGTGGCCATTGTTGGGACCACCAAGTACCCATATGAACACTCTCTGGGTTCCCAGATTGGCCACATGACCATGCAAGTAAGAAAAAATGGTGAAAGAACTGTGACTACAACGATGGTTGTTATTGCAACAATTCTGCAACACCTCGTCTTGTAGATGTTGGAGGAGCATAATGTGAAGTTCTACATGAATGACGCCGTCACTGAAATCAGAGGAGAGAACGGCTCGGTAATTCTGGTTTTGTACCACTGCTTTGAACCTGTGATTGGACCACCTCAAACCTGGATAAGTTGCGGTAGGCAAAAATTGTGTTTTTGTAGGTGAAAGAGGTCCTGCTGAAGAGTGGTACAGTTCTAGAGGCTGATGTGGTGATTGCAGGAATAGGTAATTAATTCTGTCGTATTCTATCTAATCTAATGTTTGTGCTACAGCATTGGTAATTACTTGTTATTATTTCTGTGCATTTCTCAATAGAAAAAAAATAACTCAAGTGCTTGATTATTTTTTTTTTTTTTTATGAACGCAACAGGCTAAATAAAACACTGTAGAGCAGAAATGTGAAAGAGCTGTAAGCTTCTGAATATGTCACATTTGATTTATTTTTATTTTTTTTAATACCGGCGATGAGTGTAGCCCACTTCTCTCATCTGAAATCTGCTGGTAGAGAATCCAGCTTATCCATGACCCCTTATAAAGACAACAGCTGTGGAAACTGGATGGATGAAATTCCGGGTCAAAATGACGTCATTTAGCATCAAAGCATCTGAACCTGCATACACTTTGAGAATTTAGATCAAAATGGACAATTTATTAAATAGATGTGTTCTATGATATGACTTCGTTGGCCTACGTCTGTGTATGTTTCAGGTGTGATCCCCAATTCTGACTTCCTAGCAGGAAGTGAAGTTGAAATAGATTCCAGGAAAGCAGTAGTTGTAGACAAGGTGAAGTGAACTGTCCATCACTGCTGTGTTTAACGATCGAGTGCATGTTGCTTATTGGGACGAGCGTACGTGACACGTCTTTCTTCAGTTCATGAGGACCAACGTAGCAGATGTTTTCAGTGCGGGAGATGTTACTTCCTTCCCTTTGACCATACGAGGTGATCAACGGGTCAATGTGGGTCACTGGCAAATGTCGCAAGCTCAAGGTAAGACTTGGTTCATTCTGATGAATTTGCAATCAACATCAAGCTTGTGTCACTTTTTTTTCCCCCTCAGGAAGAATTGCTGCCCTCAATATGCTAAATAAACCTACCAAAATCGAGTCTGTTCCTTTCTTCTGGACTGTGTTGCTTGGAAAGAGTATCAGATACACAGGTAGTGTTCTTCTTTTTGACTTTCAGATCAGTTAAAGCTCTTAATGCCATTTTATTTTTTACTTAGGGTATGGGGAGGGCTACACTGAAATCATAATCAAAGGCAAAGTGGAGGAAAGAAAGTTCCTGGCATTTTATATCAAGTAAGTGGATGTGGAATATGTCCTCATATGAACTATCAACACACTTCTTTGTCCAATTATTTTCCCTACCAATTGTTCTTATTGTCCTGTCCCAGCTGACTTTGGGCTACAAACAGGGCATACCCTGGAGTGGTTGCCAGCCAATTGCAGCGTACATACTGTATATATAAACAACCCTTCAGACTCCTATGGACAATTTAGATTTCAATTAATCATATTCTGCTTGGTTTTATTACCCAGAGAAAATCTACACATAAGCACAGGGAGAACATGCAAACTTCACACAAGAAGGCCAGATCAGAGTTTCATGCCCCAAAACTCAAAAATGTGAAGCAGACTTGTTTACCACTATTACAGGGGATGGACCGGACCACTTATTTCACTCTTGTTTATCCACAGAGATAATGTGGTGGTGGCGGCGGCCAGCCTCATGTTTGATCCTGCTGTGGCTCGGCTGGCAGAACTGATGGCAGCAGGTCAACACATTACAAAAGCTCAGACTCAGTGAGTGTTATTTTTGTCGCCGTTATTCCAAATTCAAATCTAAAAGGACACCACACAAGAAGTCATTTTACCTCTTTCGTTCAGTTAGCAGCAAAGCATAACTCTGCCTCTGCTTTTTCTTTGACTTTTTGTGACACAATAAGCAGTATCATGTGCTGACAAAGAAAATAATATTCACTGGGAGTTGCACAATAATTTTTTTTTTTGTTTGATAACATCTCTAGTTATTTTTGTAAGTAGTTACATGTATGTCGTATGACTTGACTCTTTTCTCTGTTCAGAGCTGAAGACCTGAGTTGGCTCCAGATGTAACGTGTCAGAAGTGCATCTCAGTGGTAAAGAACACAGCTGCCTTCCGTCTTGATCCCATCCCTTCACTGCCTCTGGCATTCTCAAAGCTGGTCAATGTCTGGCATGGTCTTACTTGATTCGTCCTGTTGTTACCATGACACCCACAACGTCAGAATGGATCAACACGTTATGCCACTAGGTGCTTTCTGAAGATGCAAGTTACAGTGAATTGTATTTGAAAAAAGATCAAGTGCAAAAAAAAAAAAATGCCAGAAACATTTAGGCCTCATGACCTTGTTTACATTTGTAGTGGCTTGGAATAGCTTTGCGTCTTTTGTCTTTCTGATTTACAGTAAAAGGTCAAGTATTTTATGATGTAAAAGCGTAACATGAATGGGTAGGTAGCATTTTAAGCAAACGTAAACATTAACAACTTGAAAATAAAATGTCACTAATAATCAGGTGGTAATTAATCAATCATTCCCATTCAGTCGTATAAAAATCGATGATTGTTCATGTAGGAGACTGGACTGTTACAGAATTGTCTGTTATTTATTCCTTTGTTGTGTGTTCACAACCCCCCCCCCCCGAATTTATTTTGTGATTTCCTCGCTGGATTTTCTGTTTTGGTGCATTATTTTTCGATTTTCTTAGTGTCATCGAAGCTATCGTTACTTTACGTTTTTCTGAGGCGGTCTTTGAACGCCTCTCGAGCGGAACGGCAGAAGTGAAGGCACGTAGTCGGACACGAGATGTGTCTGTATTTGTTTGAGAGTCTTAAAAAATTAATAAAGTGTACGTTTAAAAAAAATCAACACTACAGCTCTCATTTAGTTAGTAGTTCTTCCTTTATATCAGTTCTGATGTACTCCAATGACCATGATTGTTCTGTCATCTTTGTGTTTATGCATTGTTTACATCGTTGTATCCCAATTCTTATAAAATATTTCACACTATTGTGTCATCTTTGCTTGTTAATGTGCGATGTCGTTGTATAAAAAAATCCTTGTTTTAATTTGATCTCTTTGAATTATGAGCGGTGTCCCTAGGACTGCACCTCTGAGATCTGACAAAAACTAACTAAAATCGGACGTAAAGTGTAATTAATCACGAAAAGGCATGCTATGGGATATACTCCAACACTGTAGATGGCAGTAGATATCCAAATCGCCACATCCGGGCGTTCGTGGGTAGCGTTTGCGCATTTTTTTCTACGTAAGCTCATTTTATTTTAGTAGGAAACGTCATTCATCTGACGTATTTGCGCCGGGAATTCAACTATTCGGCGTACGTCGTGTGATCGTCGTTACTCGTCGTGTGTAGTGCGGTTTTCGGAAGAGGAGATGCATTGAAAGAGGCATGTTTTGATGAACGAGAACGTGCATTGAAAAAAAGTTTTTCAACAAGTCATCGTGGGATCGAAGGGAGCATCGTGGGATCGAAGGGAGCACGGTGAGCGACACTTCGTGTATTGAGTTTGTAAATTCCTAGCCGCTAGGCCGCTGTGCTAATTGATTAGCGTTTAGCTTGCGCGCCGCCATTACCACGTTCAGCCTTCGAGCGCCATTGTTGCGCGTTGTGGAAAAGATCGAAACCAGGAATAATTATATCCCATAGCAATAGAATCGAACATGCTGCTAGCTTGTTATACTTTAAACATAAATATTCATACAACCGGGTATGATTTATGTTTACGCCGTTGCCGTTACACAATTTGTTAGCTAACGTTAGCCATGCAGCCCGATGTTAGCTTAACACCAGCTCTTCTGTCAATTATTATACAAGTTTTTTTTTTCTCAAAACTGTGTCTGAAACTGTTTTCTTAATCATACACATATTTACACTGGAGAATAAAACTGAAGTGATCAGAGACTTGATTTGCGCATTATGAGCCGTGTTGTCACTACTTGGCCATTCGAGGAGAGCTAATACCTACTACGTCCCTACGTATTTAGAGACTCCAGTATGATCTATTGATTGTTCCGTGTTTACTGGTCTTCTTTGCAGTTCTGAGGCACTATGGCAGTTGCCTTTCCCTTCCGCGGGGTTCCTGCGGGGATCCCACCTCCGGGTGTCCCTCTCCCACCACAAGTCCCAGACTACATGACTGAGGAGAAACTGCAAGAAAAAGGTTGGGTGTCGATCCGCAGATTTATTTACGTGTGCTTGAGATGAGACACTGTGAGATTGTAACATCATGTGTGAAATGTCTTCTAACCATACAGCGCGGAAATGGCAGCAGTTGCAGGCGAAGCGCTACTCTGAGAAGAGAAAGTTTGGATTTGTGGATGCTCAGAAGGAGGACATGCCTCCTGAACATGTCCGGAAGATCATCAGGGACCATGGTGACATGACCAATAGGAAGTTTCGACATGACAAAAGGGTCTACTTAGGGTAAGAATTGAAAAATAGAACATTAATTGTGTAGTACGTTATTATTAGTAACTCACTCTGCAATATTCAGAAAATTGAGTAGAAAAGAACCCATGTGTATGCAGGGTTCTAACATGAGTCAATTGGGCTAAGATCTTCAACCGTCGCGACTGCCTAAACTAAGCTAGTTTCCCTTTTTTTTTTTTAACAGTGCCCTGAAGTACATGCCGCATGCAGTGCTGAAACTGCTGGAAAACATGCCAATGCCTTGGGAACAGATCAGAGATGTACCAGTACTTTATCACATCACTGGAGCCATTTCATTCGTAAATGAAATACCTTGGGTTATCGAACCAGTCTACATAGCCCAATGGGGGTAAGGAAGAGTCTGTCTATTTTAAAAGAACAAAAAGAACTGTGTATTTTAATTAAACTGCTGCTACCAGTTAAGACCTGTCCTATTTTAAATGAGTCTTTATCAGCCTTACTGACTGTATGCTTCATTTGATGAGAATTTTCAGTAATCTTGGCTTTCTCTCAGCACAATGTGGATCATGATGCGCCGAGAAAAGCGTGACCGGCGACACTTCAAGAGGATGCGCTTTCCACCATTTGATGATGAGGAGCCGCCGCTGGATTACGCAGACAACATCCTCGATGTAGAACCACTGGAGGCCATTCAAATGGAGCTGGACACAGAGGAGGATGGCCCTGTTGTGGAATGGTTGTATGAGCACCAGCCCCTCAAAGACACGACAAAGTAAAAGCCTCTTGAAATGTTATTAGTGTTATTATTTCCAGAAAGTCACCCGAAAACTGCTTTTTGTTTCTTTTTCAGGTTTGTGAATGGTACCACTTACCGTCGATGGCAATTCTCACTGCCCATGATGTCGACATTGTACCGTTTGGCCAACCAGCTGCTTACAGACTTGGTTGATTACAACTACTTCTACCTGTTTGACCTCAAGGCCTTCTTCACGTCCAAGGCTTTAAACATGGCCATACCCGGAGGACCAAAATTTGAGCCTCTCGTTCGGGACATTAACCTCCAGTAAGAACTCTCAGGCTTCCCTATAATACATTATTTAGGGACGGCCCCCCCCCCCCCCCCCCTACTGTGCCACCCTCTTTTTTTTTAATTTCATGCAAAATATGTTTAAGCTTCATATGTCTTTATCTCCTGTAGGGATGAAGACTGGAATGAGTTCAATGACATTAACAAGATCATCATCAGACAACCTATCAGGACAGAGTACAAAATCGCCTTCCCCTACCTGTATAACAACTTGCCGCACCACGTCCACCTCACCTGGTAGGTTTTTCACCTAAAGTGACATTTGGTTTGAAATTCTATTAATTTTTGTCAAAAAAGTGATTGAGTGTGAGGCTGAATTTGTCTTTCACTGCTTGTAAAATGGTTCCGTTAATTGCCCTGTGTGAAGGTACCATACGCCAAATGTGGTGTTCATTAAGACGGAAGACCCAGACCTGCCTGCATTTTACTTTGATCCACTCATCAACCCTATTTCACACAGGCATTCAGTCAAGGTAAGTGTGCTTCTAAGCTAATCACAATGTTTAGGCATTTATGTCAATTCTATTGATTCAAAATTCTTGCAATTTTTTTAAGCAAAGTTGTCAGCATTACACATCCTGTTACCGAGCCGCACTTGCATTGACCTGCTTGCCTGTGCGTAAGAATTGCAGGAATATAAAAATGAATGGTGGCTTTTATTTATTGATGGCTGCAGTTGCAGTTAGCCTGTCACCATTTATACATTGCAAACGATTTCTAATTTCTGAATTTTTGTGACCATTCGTATGTTTCTTCCGCGACATCGTCATTGCTATATCCTGCTTCCTATCAGAGTCAAGAGCCTCTTCCAGACGATGACGAGGAGTTTGAGCTTCCTGAGTTTGTGGAGCCCTTCCTCAAGGAAACTCCTCTCTACACCGATAACACAGCCAATGGCATCGCTCTGCTGTGGGCGCCAAGACCTTTCAACTTGCGTTCAGGTCGTACCAGGAGAGCAATCGATATCCCTCTCATTAAGAACTGGTGAGCGAACAAAACAGTCACATTTACAACCTTTGACAATGATAAACCCCCCTCCCCCGTTAAAAAACAATTTATATATTTTTAAAAATTTGGCGTGTCATTTGTTTTACAGGTATCGTGAGCACTGCCCAGCAGGACAACCGGTAAAAGTGCGTGTGTCCTACCAGAAACTGCTGAAGTACTACGTGCTCAATGCTCTCAAACACAGACCGCCCAAGGCCCAGAAAAAGAGGTGTGCCTCACTGGATATTTCAATTCTATTTAGGATGGTCTCTCTCTCTCTCTCTCTTCCTGACTCTCTCTGAAGCATATTTACTCGTCTGCTAGCATCGTGTGTTAACATTTGTCTTGCTGCCTTGTAGGTATCTCTTCCGTTCCTTCAAGGCCACCAAGTTCTTTCAGTCCACCAAGCTTGACTGGGTGGAGGTTGGCCTGCAGGTCTGCCGGCAGGGTTACAACATGCTCAATCTGCTTATCCACCGAAAGAACCTAAACTATCTGCATTTGGACTACAACTTCAACTTGAAGCCTGTCAAGACACTGACCACAAAGGTGAAAATTAAAAGCTAGAATCGTTTCTTTTTGCATGAATACTTCAACATCAATCTGTGAACGGCGACATTTGAAGCATTGCTTTGTTTAGGAGGCCCTCTCTCCTTTTTTTTTTTTTTAACCACTTGACACTGTTTTTGTCCCCTAGGAGCGTAAAAAGTCAAGATTTGGCAATGCTTTCCATCTCTGTCGAGAGGTGTTGCGACTGAGCAAGCTGGTGGTGGACAGCCATGTTCAGTACAGACTGGGAAATGTGGATGCCTTCCAGGTCATATTAGCTACTTAAATCCCAAAACGTTATCATTCAGAGTTTTATAAGACGTGTTGTAGAACTAAATGCAGAATTGTCTTTGCACTTTAGTTGGCTGATGGGCTGCAGTACATCTTTGCCCATGTGGGGCAGCTGACCGGCATGTACCGCTACAAGTACAAGTTGATGAGACAAATCCGGATGTGCAAAGATCTGAAACATCTCATTTACTACCGCTTCAATACAGTATGTATATATTTGTCAGCCACACCGCAACTTACTTGACTCTTCACATCTTCTCTTGTTTGTTCTTGTATCCAATCTATATGATTTTCATGGTGTCACAGCAGAGAAGGTGAAAGTCTACGTTGTGTTTTGATTTTGTGTTTTGTTTGTTAACTCAGGGTCCTGTTGGCAAGGGACCAGGTTGTGGTTTCTGGGCACCTGGATGGAGGGTGTGGCTTTTCTTCATGAGGGGCATAACACCACTGTTAGAGAGGTGGCTTGGAAATCTTCTGGCCAGGCAATTTGAAGGTGGGTTCTTATGATGCTCATGATTATATTGAATTTAACATTACTTTTCAAATATATACCAAGCTAAATATGCTGCAGGACGAAGCAATGCAACAGGTTTTCTGTAACCATTGAAATTGTTGGTAATTGGAGGTATAAACATTTCTCTCACCAAGCAGGTTATGTAGCATCACTTGATCCGATGATATTGTCATCATTCAATTATATTGTGTGAAAAGTCAAAACTGCAGTGTTCTGGGCACTTGAAATATCATTTTGCGTGAAGACATTTTGTTTAAATCTCCCTGCAGGAAGACACTCCAAGGGTGTGGCCAAGACCGTGACCAAACAGCGTGTGGAGTCGCACTTCGACCTGGAATTGCGTGCTGCTGTGATGCACGACATCTTGGACATGATGCCCGAAGGCATCAAACAGAACAAAGCCAGGACCATCCTGCAGCACCTCAGTGAGTCTTGGAGGTGCTGGAAGGCAAACATCCCATGGAAGGTGGGCACTTTGTAAACTTGTTTAAAAGGACATAAATATAATCAAATATTCCACATAATAATAGGAACTGCATATGTTAATTCTATATAACTAAAGAGTTCAAATTCTGCAGGTACCTGGTTTGCCAACACCCATTGAGAACATGATCCTGCGCTACGTCAAGGCCAAAGCTGACTGGTGGACCAACACAGCCCACTACAACCGTGAGCGAATCCGCCGTGGGGCCACTGTGGACAAGACGGTCTGCAAAAAGAACCTGGGAAGACTAACCCGCTTGTACTTGAAGGCTGAGCAGGAGAGACAGCACAACTACTTGAAGGTATTGCATAGAGAAAAAAAAATACAGTACTATTTGTCTTATCTGAAAACCTCTTACTGAGACGCACTTGCATTGGTCTGCTTGCATATGCGTAAGAGCTGGAGGGATATTACATTTACTGGTGGCTTTTGTATACTGGCGGCTGCCCCTGCAGTTAACTTGCCACCATTAAGACATTGTTTGTAATATAATTCAACAGCCTCTTTAATTTTTTTTTTTTAAAGGTAGAAACATTACCATTGTGTCTATAATTTTCTCACGTTTTTAAAAAGTTACGGTTTGGTTTCAGGATGGTCCCTATATCACAGCTGAGGAAGCTGTTGCCATTTACACCACAACTGTTCACTGGCTGGAAAGTCGCCGTTTCTCACCCATCCCCTTTCCTCCACTGTCATACAAACATGACACCAAGCTGCTCATCTTGGCCCTAGAAAGGCTGAAAGAGGCTTACAGGTAAGCACCCATTCAACAGTTCATATTAATTGCCACTTAGAAGATGCCTTCAGTGATGTCCCTTTATTTTCTCCAGTGTGAAATCCCGCTTGAATCAGTCTCAGAGGGAAGAGCTCGGGCTGATTGAGCAGGCTTATGACAACCCTCACGAGGCCTTGTCCAGGATCAAGCGACACTTGCTCACACAGCGAGCCTTTAAGGAGGTCAGCAAAGATCAGAAACGTTTTTACCCCCACCCCCAAGCAATTTTCACACGGGATGGATGCATCTGTTCTTGATATTGACTTAGAAATAATTTGTCTTCTAATACAAATCAGATGGGAGGGGAGTTCCCTGTGAGGGTTTTTATCCCCAAAATATATGCATATTACCTCATTTAAATACACGCTAATACACTGAGATTTTTGCCGTGATCTTAACCATTGCATCCAAACCCGCCCTCATCACACCCACACCTTGTTCTTTCTTGTATAGGTGGGTATTGAGTTCATGGACCTGTACAGCCACCTGGTGCCAGTGTATGATGTAGAGCCACTGGAGAAAATCACAGACGCCTACCTTGATCAATATCTATGGTACGAAGCAGACAAGAGGCGGCTCTTCCCACCCTGGATCAAACCAGCTGACACTGAACCACCTCCCCTGCTCGTCTACAAGTGGTGCCAAGGTCAGACTGGGCATAGAAACAATTTATAGAGTCATCTTTACTGACCTTACTGAGGGCCCTTACCTGAGACATTGCTCTGGCAGTGCTTCACCTTACTAAAATTGAGTGGTGCCAATTTTACACCTGCTTTCTGTTGATATTGTTTGGCCCCCGTGAAAATGTGTGTGGCTATTAGTGCTCGTGTTAGTGATTTAGACATTATCACTGAAGCTCATTTGCACAAAGGTGGGCAATTTTTGAGCCAAATGTATGCATATGATCTCATTGAAATACACAGAAATACCACCGGTGCACCAAGATGCACTCTACTTGTTATCTCAGTGATGCATTTAACCATCTGCGTGTGCTTTGTGGATTAGACGTTATCTGATTGCTTAATTTTTACTGGTTAACGCCCCGCAAAAGCCAGAAAATCCTTTCGTGAATTCAGCCCTGAATCTTTTCTAACATAACCCAGCCTTTACAAGGTTATTTGGACTAAATTGTAATACTTGTTCTTTGCAGGCATTAACAACTTGCAGGATGTTTGGGAAACTGCAGAAGGAGAGTGCAATGTGATGCTAGAGTCACGCTATGAAAAGATGTACGAGAAGATCGACTTGACGTTGCTCAACAGGCTGCTACGTCTTATTGTTGACCACAACATCGCTGATTATATGACAGCCAAGAACAATGTTGTCATCAACTACAAGGTAAACAACGGTGGTTTACTCCAAACATTCTTCAATCTTTCCTTTTCCCGCATTACTTCACGTAAACACGATTTTTTTTATTTATTTATTTATTTATTTTTTTGCGTTAATATGTGTGTGTGTATAACTCGTTTCTAGGACATGAACCACACAAACTCTTACGGCATCATCCGGGGACTCCAGTTTGCCTCGTTCATTGTGCAGTACTACGGCCTGGTAATGGATCTGCTGGTGCTGGGCTTGCACCGTGCCAGCGAGATGGCAGGTCCGCCCCAAATGCCCAACGATTTCCTCAGTTTCCAAGATACAGCAACAGAAAGCGCCCACCCAATCAGGCTGTACTGCCGCTACATTGACCGCATTCACATCTTCTTCAGGTTAGACTGATTCAGCCCTTTCTCTGTCCGTGTTTGGAAGTAGAACTCTGTGGCAGCACATATCTGATGGATAAAATTACTTTCTCAAAATTGATGTCATTGTTTGTGATTCCTGCGTATGTCAAGCTTTGCTGGTGAAATGAAACAGGAACTGAAAATGTTATTTTGTCTTTGTCAGGTTTTCTGCCGACGAGGCAAGAGACCTCATTCAGAGGTACCTGACAGAACACCCTGACCCCAACAATGAGAACATTGTGGGTTACAACAATAAAAAGTGCTGGCCACGTGATGCTCGCATGAGATTGATGAAGCATGATGTCAATCTGTAAGTCCTCAGCTCACTATAGCATAAGTTCATACAGGTTAAAGAGTCTCTGACAATTGGACATAATTGACTATTTTTTTTCCAGTGGGCGTGCAGTCTTTTGGGACATCAAGAACCGGCTGCCAAGGTCAGTGACCACGGTCCAGTGGGAGAACAGCTTTGTGTCAGTATACAGCAAAGACAACCCCAACTTGCTCTTCAACATGTGTGGCTTTGAGTGCCGCATCTTGCCTAAATGTCGAACAAGCTATGAGGAGTTCACCCATAAGGACGGTGTCTGGAATTTGCAGAATGAGGTGAGAAAACACCAACTTTTCTCATTAATACAAGAGTTTAGGGATCTCACTAGCAAATATTTTTCCAATGTATTATCCGTTTGATTATTCTGTCAAATAATCTGATGATTTTTCATGTCCCATTACTGTATTGTAGGGCTAATTCTTACTTTTCCATTTGTAGGTAACCAAAGAGAGGACCGCTCAGTGTTTCCTGCGTGTGGATGATGAATCAATGCAGCGCTTCCATAACAGAGTGCGCCAGATCTTGATGGCCTCTGGCTCAACCACATTCACAAAGGTAAACCGACCAAAGATAAAAATCTGATGTGGTAATTGTAAATTTCCCCAGTGTGGGACAAATAAAGGATATCTTATCTTATCTTATCTTAACCATTGGAACTTGTGGTTGTCACACTAGAAACGGGTATCATCATCTACCATTTATTTCTGCCTCCAGATTGTGAACAAATGGAACACGGCTCTTATTGGCCTCATGACCTACTTCCGTGAAGCAGTAGTAAACACACAGGAGCTGCTGGATCTGCTGGTCAAGTGTGAGAACAAGATTCAGACCCGTATCAAGATCGGGCTGAACTCTAAAATGCCGAGCCGTTTCCCACCTGTTGTTTTCTACACTCCCAAAGAGTTGGGCGGCCTGGGCATGTTGTCCATGGGCCACGTGCTCATACCCCAGTCTGATCTGCGGTAAGTCATGACGCATACATTTTACTGGACTCTTAAATTAATTTTTGGTCAAGTTGGAAAGTCTGAAAGCCTTCTCTCTCTCTTTGCCAGTTGGTCCAAGCAGACAGATGTGGGGATCACCCACTTCAGGTCTGGAATGAGTCATGAAGAGGACCAGCTCATTCCAAATTTGTACCGTTACATTCAGCCATGGGAAAGTGAGTTCATCGACTCCCAGAGGGTGTGGGCTGAGTATGCCCTCAAAAGGCAGGAGGCCATTGCACAGAACAGGTATGTTCCTCTGCCGATTATTGGTTTTAAATCTCTCTCCACCAATTAACATTGGATTTAGTCATTTGTCTGCTGTTGGGACTTTTATGTGCAGTTATTTTTTTCCCCAGTAAACTTGTCAGCATGATAATTCTAATCCCTCGAGCTGGCGATTGACTTTACACTGCTATGCTTCTTGGAATGCACGTGAACTCAACTCGGCTGCATTTTGGTCATCTTTACCTCAGCATTTCTAGTTTGCATTAACAATACAGAAAGAGAGCTTGAATTCCAACTGAAACAAATGACCCATTGTGTCTGTTTCCTAGGCGACTGACCTTGGAGGATTTAGAGGACTCGTGGGACAGAGGAATCCCGCGTATCAACACTCTTTTCCAAAAGGACAGACACACACTGGCCTATGACAAAGGCTGGCGAGTCCGGACAGATTTTAAACAATACCAGGTACGATCGGACGTGTGATTGAAATGCATATTATTTTTTTCAAGTTGAACCCACTTCCTGTCAGCCTGAACGCGTGATGAATAAAGTGATACTGACACGTAAAGGTAGATGGTAAACATCGGTGCAAATCTGCATTTTAATTTCTCTGTGGATTTCAGGTGTTAAAGCAGAATCCGTTTTGGTGGACCCACCAGAGGCATGATGGTAAACTGTGGAATCTCAACAACTACCGCACAGACATGATCCAGGCCTTAGGTGGTGTGGAGGGCATCCTGGAACACACGCTCTTCAAAGGCACTTACTTCCCCACATGGGAGGGTCTCTTCTGGTGAGAAAATACGGGAAAACAGTCATCTTAGTTTTTCAAACATAATAAATAAACATAACAAAACATCTGTTTGGTGGATGTTTTGTTAATAGAGGATGAAATTAATCATTTGCATCCAATGTCTTTCTGGCATGTAGGGAGAAGGCCAGTGGGTTCGAAGAGTCCATGAAGTGGAAGAAACTGACAAATGCTCAGAGATCTGGTCTCAACCAAATCCCCAACCGTCGCTTCACTCTTTGGTGGTCGCCCACCATCAACAGAGCCAATGTAAGTCCTAATATAAAGTTACTCCTTGTTGTTGTTATCATTTGTTAAAGGTGATACTGGCACAGATTAATAGTTTTCCTCCCGCTACTTGTTTGTAGGTATATGTGGGTTTCCAGGTGCAGCTTGACCTGACCGGAATCTTCATGCATGGAAAGATTCCCACCCTGAAGATCTCCCTCATTCAGATCTTCAGAGCTCACTTGTGGCAGAAGATCCATGAGAGCATTGTCATGGATCTATGTCAGGTTGGTTTGACTTCACTTCTGTGGTATTATTGCTGTGGTAGAACAGAAAATCAAAGATTACCGTCTCATTTTGTCTTTCAGGTGTTTGACCAGGAGCTCGATGCTCTTGAGATCGAGACTGTGCAGAAGGAGACTATCCACCCCAGGAAGTCGTACAAGATGAACTCATCCTGTGCTGACATTCTCCTTTTTGCATCCTACAAGTGGAATGTATCTCGACCGTCTCTGCTTGCAGACTCAAAGTATGACATTATGATATCAGAAAATACATCTACACTGCACCAATGCGAAAGGTTTTGTATGATCATGTGTAAAAACAAATGATCCTTGTGTAAATTTGCCGCTACTCTTGTTGCAGGGATGTTATGGACAGCACCACCACACAGAAGTACTGGATTGACATTCAACTGCGCTGGGGTGACTACGACTCGCATGACATTGAGCGCTATGCCAGGGCTAAGTTCTTGGACTACACCACGGACAACATGAGTATCTACCCTTCCCCTACTGGGGTGCTCATTGCCATCGACTTGGCATACAACCTCCACAGGTTAGTGATGTTTGGAGCATGAGTAAATTGCATGTAAGAGTGGATGTAACTATTAACCTCAACATATGAACATGATTGGTTTTTAGTAAACCCGTGTCAAATTCTGCATTTCCTCTCTTTGTGCAGTGGCTACGGAAACTGGTTCCCGGGCAGCAAGCCTTTGATCCAACAGGCCATGGCCAAGATTATGAAGGCCAATCCTGCCCTGTATGTGCTCAGGGAGCGCATCCGCAAGGGTCTCCAGCTGTACTCCTCCGAACCCACTGAGCCTTACCTGTCCTCTCAGAACTACGGGGAGCTCTTCTCGAACCAAATCATTTGGTTTGTGGATGACACCAACGTCTACAGAGTCACCATCCACAAGGTGTGTGCTGATTCATGCTCCTCATGTTAATGATAATAATCTTGCTCCAGTCATATACTGTCAGTTATCTCTATCCAACTCGTCTAATGTTCAGAGGCCTCTTTCACCTTTCACCAGACCTTTGAGGGCAACTTGACCACCAAACCCATCAATGGAGCCATTTTCATCTTCAACCCCAGGACTGGACAGCTCTTCCTCAAGATCATTCACACATCCGTGTGGGCTGGACAGAAACGTCTGGGCCAGGTAAGAGCATTGAACATAAATTGCCCGTGCTGAAATTCAGTGATCACAACTAGACTGCTTGTTTTCAATTAACAACCATTATTATCGGAGAAGTGACAAACAGTACCGTCCACTTAGTTGATCATTTGACATGAAAATGAAAAATCCTGCTACCCTTGAATAAAACGGTGTGATTTCCTTGTAGCTTGCTAAATGGAAGACAGCTGAAGAAGTTGCTGCCTTGATCCGCTCTCTCCCTGTGGAGGAGCAACCGAAGCAGATCATTGTGACCAGGAAAGGTATGCTGGACCCTCTTGAGGTAAGACAGTCACACCCAGTGCTACTGGATTCATTATTAGCTCTGAATGTTGACGTAACTTTCTCATGACATCCTCCTAATCTTTCCTCAGGTCCACTTGCTTGACTTCCCCAACATTGTGATCAAGGGCTCTGAGTTGCAGCTGCCCTTCCAGGCATGTTTGAAGGTGGAGAAGTTTGGAGACCTGATCCTCAAAGCTACCGAGCCCCAGATGGTCTTGTTCAACCTCTACGACGACTGGCTTAAGACCATTTCGTCCTACACAGTGAGTCTTCCTTTGTGCCACAAAAAAAGCTGATATTTGAAGATTTGTTATCCCCTCATAGTTCTTTGGCTGTCATGAATTTACCAGAAACGCTTAACAGATTCCATACTTATTTCGCTGTGTGAGAAGAGTTTGTGTGATTTGCTTCACCCATCTCTAGGCCTTTTCTCGACTCATCCTGATCCTAAGAGCACTCCACGTCAACAATGACCGTGCCAAAGTGATCCTCAAACCCGATAAGACCACCATCACTGAGCCTCATCACATTTGGCCCACTCTCACAGATGAGGAATGGATCAAGGTGGAAGTGCAACTAAAAGATCTCATTCTGGCTGACTACGGCAAAAAGAACAAGTCAGTCTCTCGTCTGGGCTGAACCAAGTTTAATTTTTGTGTCAACTACGAGTAACAGGACAAAAGAATTGAGCACCCAACACGTTTCTCCTGCTTCTCCCCTCCAGTGTGAACGTGGCATCATTGACCCAATCTGAGATCCGTGACATCATCCTGGGTATGGAGATCTCTGCTCCCTCGCAGCAACGGCAGCAGATTGCCGAGATTGAGAAGCAGACCAAAGAGCAATCGCAGCTCACTGCCACACAGACACGCACTGTTAACAAACACGGCGATGAGATCATCACTTCCACCACATCCAACTACGAGACGCAGACCTTCTCCTCCAAGACGGAATGGAGGGTCAGGTATGTGGCATTTTGGTTTGTCCTGAAACTCAAATCAAATATGTTAATATGAAACCTGGATATGAATTTACCGGTTCTATAGTGTGTAGCATATTAATGTCTTAGTTATAGATGCAAAAAAAAAAAAATCTTTGTAAATTCACAACAGGGCTACTCCCTATCTATATGGTTAACTGTAGTTTCTTGACTGAGTAATAAACCTGCTCGTTGTACTTGCCCTGCCAGAGCTATCTCCGCTGCCAACCTCCATCTTCGCACCAACCACATTTACGTGTCCTCTGATGACATCAAGGAGACAGGATACACCTACATCCTGCCCAAGAATGTTCTCAAGAAGTTCATCTGTATTTCAGATTTGCGTGCACAGGTATCTCCCAGTAGTTTTACAAATTCATCGCGATTAGAGTTGTCTTTGCATCTTTAATAACATCTGTGCAGAATAAACCTCACTGGTATGTTTTCTGTTCCAGATCGCAGGCTACCTGTACGGCACCAGCCCACCTGACAACCCTCAGGTAAAGGAGATCCGCTGTATCGTCATGGTGCCTCAGTGGGGGACCCACCAGACTGTCCATCTCCCCAACCAGCTGCCAGGACACGAATATCTTAAAGTAAGATTAGATAAATCCCACTTCCTTCTAAGCAAGGGCTCTATTATTCTGATTACAATGTAACCAATGTCTAAAATATTTGAAGTATTCATACTGAAACATCTTCGTCTCCGAAAGGAAATGGAACCCCTTGGTTGGATCCACACACAGCCTAATGAGTCACCACAGCTGTCCCCCCAGGATGTCACTACCCACGCCAAAGTCATGGCCGACAATCCCTCTTGGGATGGAGAAAAGACCATCATCATCACGTGCAGGTAAACTTTTTATCCCTGGATTTTTGTGCTTGCACTGATAGTCTTGATTCAATTTGATGCCAAAAGAAGTTGGGTTTTAAAGTTGCGTAGTTTTATGACTTGAAGTTGTAAAATGACAGTGAACTACAGCATTTGGTTGCATTAAAAAAATAAAATAGTCAATGTGGAACCGAGGCCCGTGACATTGGTAACATTTTTCAACCTTGTATGAAAGAACTAATTCTGCTTTTTAGGAGTTCGGTGATTTTTGAGTGGAAAAGTGTGATTCCAACTGTTAATTTTTTTTCTTTCCCTCTCCCCCTCCAAGTGCCCCTTTGTTCCAATGGCACCAAATTAATATTGTTTAATTTCCAGCTTCACGCCAGGCTCATGCACGCTGACGGCCTACAAATTGACGCCCAGCGGCTACGAGTGGGGCCGGCAGAACACGGACAAGGGCAACAACCCAAAAGGTTACCTGCCATCCCACTATGAGAGGGTCCAGATGCTGCTCTCTGACCGCTTCCTGGGCTTCTTTATGGTACCAGGTCAAGTTTCCTGGAATTACAATTTCATGGGTTAGTACCTTTTCCCGTTATTTTGCTTTACAGTAGAGGTGTCATTTGTCAGCATCACAATACGCCTATTCAGCTTTTAGAAATAAGATTTTTTTTCCCCACTCTTCCTTCCCCCTCCGCCAATCTAGGTGTACGTCACGACCCTAACATGAAGTACGACCTGCAGCTGGCCAACCCCAAAGAGTTCTACCACGAAGTCCATCGGCCATCGCACTTCCTGAACTTTGCCTCGTTACAGGAGGGTGAAATCTACAACGCCGATCGTGAGGATATGTATGGTTGAACGGAAAGACTCATTCTTATGGGTGGCCCTGTCAGAATCACTCTTGTAAAAAAATTCTCCTCCACACATGTAACTGTTTGGACATTTTAATGTTAAAATTAGATGGACACTTTTGGTATTCCTCCCATATTTCCTTCAGTTTGTTTCCACAGTGCCCTCTAGTCAATACGCGCCTTTTTATTTTTTTTGGTTATATGTACACAGGACTATAGTGTAGTGTAATATTCTCATAATTGTTTCAAAGGCAGAAGTACTCGTTCCTGACATTTGAGAAGTAAAATGTTGATTTCCCATGACAGTTAATTCCCAAATGTTATTCTGTGACATTGTTGCTTGGATTTAAATAAAGATGTTTTTTTTTTATACATTGCAAAGTGCCTTTTATTTTCTTTCACTTAAGTTTCAACCACCTTACGGTGGCTTTGAATTTCCCCCTTAATAGCCATCTCGGACAGGCATCCATCTCCCCATCCATTTTCAGACTGCTTATCCTCATGAAGGTCGTGGGTGAGTCGAAGTCCATCCCAGCTATTTTTGTGCAAGAGACCTGTTCTACCCTGGACTGATTACCAGACAATCTCTGGGCATGTATAGACTGGCTACCATTCACACTTCTCAGTTATTTTTTGTGACGCATACTCCAGGAAGAAGAAAAAGACTTCAAGAACGCCTAACTTACAATTATGAGTATTATTTGTATATAAAAGTGTTATAAGTACATCGCTGCATGACATTACACAATTTAAAAAATATATAGATCAACCTACACTAAAGAATAACTTTGAAAGTATGACTTCAAAAACGAGTTTACTCACCCATCGAACCTTTTGAGAATATCTTAATACTGTAGTCGATTGCTTCAAATTTCTGTTTTAAGAAGACTGAATAAGGTTGCAAATAGGCCAAAAACAACTTCTTTTTCCTTAACTTGATTTTAAAAGTATAGTACATATTCGTCTTGAGTGGCACGGTGGACGAGTGGTTAGTGCGTCGACCTCACAATGCAGAGGTGCAGTGTTCGATTCCGGCTCTTGCCTCCCTGTGTGGAGTTTGCATGTTCTCCCCGTTCCTTCGTGGGTTTTCTCCCGGCACTCCGGTTTCCTCCCACATTCCAAAAACATGCATAGCAGGTTAATGCAACACGCTAAATTGCGTGAGTGTGAGCGCGGATGGCTGTTCGTCTCTTTGTGCCCTGCGATTGGCTGGCAACCGGTTCAGGGTGTCCCCCCGCCTGCAGCCCGAAGACGGCTGGGATAGACCCCAGCACATCCGCGACATTCGTGAGGATAAAGCGGATCGGAAAATGGATGGATGTATGAATATGTGTCTAAAACCGACCAACATACAGCAAATATACTTGAAAACTGTCGTTTTAAGTGAAGAAACTCGACTTTCACGCTCCAGAGGCTTTACAAACACACGACCTATCACGCAAATGCTCTGCGTGTGCGTGTGTTCACTCGCGCGCACAATGCGCGCTTGTGCTACATTGGTTGGAACAGTGGGCGGATCCAACAACGGGTTGACTTCAGCTAGCCAGTATTATCATACAGTTTGGTACACATATCAGATGTCCCAATTCTTTCCTCCTTAATATTTACTTGAGCACACGAGCAGGTTGCATTGAAGGCCACCCCTTTTTTTCTTTTAAACAATTGATTGCTCCAATGAGCCACCTTTGGTTTAGTTGTCGCTGAGCATGACAAACTGGAGCGTTCGACTTCAGACATGGAGCTACCTGCGTCTCACTGCCAAGCAAACGGCAGCGGCTGTTTCGACAAGAACTGCTCGTCTCTCACGGTGGACGACGTCTACGAGATTGCCAAAGTGATCGGGGTCGAGCTGGAGAAGCTCATCGACGGCTACGGCAAGGAGAGCGTGCTGGGCCTGGTGCCGAGGGTGGTGAAAGTGCTGGAGCTTCTGGAGAGCTTCACGGCCAGGAATCACGCACACAAACACAGGGAAGAAGAGCTGCTGCGGACCTTCGAGAGCTTAAAGATGCAGCAAAAGAAATGGGCGGCCAAGGACAACGACGAAGTCAACGAAAATCACGAAACCAGGGTGAGAATATATAAATAACTTTCAACCCGTAAAACGTAAAGGATCGCTTTCACTTCTGACTGGCGCCGTGTTGAAAATGGTCACACGATTCAGCGGCGCAAACGTAATGACCGTGTATTACATTCACGTGAACCAGCTATCACAGATAGCTTGTAACAAACATTATGACTCAGTACTGTACCAAAGTCAGTTCTGATTTCTCCTTTGATGAAACGAAAGTGCTGTCTTTTAAATATGAAACAGTGAATTTCTGTAAATACTGTACTTCCCAAATGGTCAAAAGTATAATCAAATTGAAACTACCGTGCAGTTCTTTTACTCTGAAAATTGACTTTTTAAACTAAACTGTACATTTTACGAAGGACAGCATCATCTGGTTTACAGCATTGCTTTGAATAGAAGCTGCATGGTTACAATTACCACTAATTAAAACAAGGGAGGCCGTTACCTGCGTTTCACTAAATTTAAGTGGTTGTTTTAGGGCAAAATAACCACTGCCGTTTCTGCTCCGCGCAGCTTCTATTTGAAAACATCTTTTTTCCCTCATTTTTAAAGATCAAATATTACTCGTGCAGTATACTGTAGATAGTCTTAGCAATGCATATAGAGGCTGTCTTTCGACTGTACTGTCACGTTGTACTTTCATTGTTTATACAGTATTTTAGCTACACTACACTTTTATTACACTTACGATGTAGCCTTTCAATAAAAAAATAGCAAGACAGGCTGAATGTTGACTGTTCTGCTAATTTCTATTTTCCTTGGTTCCGATACAGTCTCAAGTTGCTGTTTGTATAAAAAATCCGAACGCAGGCAATCTTATGGCATTACTGGCACTTTGTAATTTCTTTGCTCATATTTCAATTATCCTACACTTCTAGTTACTATGAAAAACACTTAAACATAGGCTACATTTTCATAATGCAGTCACTCTGAACTTCCACTATGACAGTGACAGTTACACTAGATAAAAGATGTTCACACGGGCTGAATTTAGACTGCACTTTGTACTTTTCTTGGTTCTGTTACAGTAACACAACTCTTTGGTTACAATGATACTCCATTTAACATTTAACGTTCGTTTGATTCCTTCTAAATAGTTTCCTAAGTCTGGCCGCACCTTAAAAACTCTCCAAAGGACGTGTTAATACAAGTTTACAGTTGCTCAGGCTGTGTGTATTAAAACCAGTGAAACACTCATTTCTGTCCCGTCTGCGATTGTGTCCTGTTCTGTCAAGCAGGAGCAGCAACAGCAGCAGCAGAAGGAGCAAGAATGGAGGAGCAAGTGTGAGGAACTGCAAGTTCAAATCCAGCAGCTCCAGGAGGACAACGGGGAGCTCCATAGCAGGCTAAAAGGCAACCATGCGCAGGATGGTATGTTGAAGTATGCCACAAAGTAGCATTTTGTGGCACCTGTAGGCAATTCTCAACCTTTTTGGAGTGGCGTCATTTACTTTCCAGATTTTCTCTATTTGCGGCACACTTCAATTAATAATAATCATTTTCTTGTTTGAATGGAACAAGGTTGAGGGACAGGTAGAATAGCAGTGAGGGAGGGTGTGGATGACGGTGTGAATGGTTGTTTGTCTCTATATGTGCCCTGCGACTGACTGGTGACCAGTTCAGAGTGTAGGCTGCCTTCCGCCCAATGTCAGCTGAGATAAGCAGCTCCAAAGTTTTCAAAGTGACTTATTGTACATGAAGCATGGCAGAAATTGGAGCTGAAACAATCACGAGCAACACGCAGTCAGAAGAAGCACAACACCTCTGGCCCAAACTGATGAAGTGGTGTAGAAAATGGCTCCATAGTTGAAGTGATATTGTAAAGGAAATATCTGAATTTGCACATTTCTGTTTTGCATTTTAGTCTATCACTGCCTATGTTCTGATTAAAAAAAAAGTTATTTATCCTGGAGTAAGCACATGCTTAGTCTTGACAGAGTGAGTACAATTTTTGGTTCGTGTCCACTTGTGATGAGTGTAGATCGCATCCAGCGGCAGGAGCGAGAAGTGATGCTGAAGCTGAAACAGGTGGTGGACAAGCAGAGAGATGAGCTCAGGTCCAAAGTCCAAGAGATCACCACCATCTCCAAGGAGGTGGAGGCGGTAAGCAGTCCTAAACGCTGTGGCCTTCGTCTTCTGTTGATATGACATTTTACCCACCAAGTGGGCTACGTTTTGGTTTGACGTTCTTACAGATCCAGACTTGAATCTGGAAAATTTCACATCTTGATTTCTGCAGATTTCAAATTCTTGAACCTTTGCAGAAGTTTTAACCTTCTCAGCTGTCTTATTTGAACTGGTTAAAAAAAAAAAAAGAAAGACTATTCTTGGGTTTGCGCATCTGGTAAGGCGCAAAAAAAGTTGCAACACATTCAAATGATTTCGGCATCCGACTGGCTAAGTGATGGTCCAAACGTAAAGCTCTGGACAAAACATGGCTTGAAATTTAATTTTGATATTTATTATTATTTCAACATTATGAGAGGTGCACACAAAAGCTCAGTGCATCAGTATGTGATGTTAGAAAGGAACCTCAATTCATGACAAGGGCGCTGTGTTAAAGCCAAGATGACAGACTGCCCTTATATTTCCTGGTTGAGGAATAGTTGCACTTTCGACCAGTCTGAACAGGTTTTTCCCCTCCATTTGTGAGCGGGCGGCGTGCTATTTGCACCACATGATGTCAATAGCTGTCGTAACTGGGTGTGTGTTTGTTATTCATCTACTGACTGGCGACCTTCACGACAGGATACTCAAAACACATTTCTCGGTCTGCTCAAATAAATGCTCAGTGATGTAATTGTGATGACTGTGTTTTGATATTTATTTTGTCTTTTCTGCCATTGTTATGACCTGCCGGGCAAAAATGGTTATCATTTTGTCTTCATTGCTGCACGTGAAGTGTACTGAACTTGACGGACATGTGTTCCCGTGTAGCTCCAGGAGCAGTTGGAACGCTTCATGAAAATGAACGCGGAGCTGCGACATAAGCAGAACGTGCTGCAGGCCCAGCTCAAGAGCACGGTGGAGAGAAAGGCCGACATGGAGGCCGACCTGAAAGAGAAAGTCAAAGTGATCGAAAAGCTGCAAGCACAGATGGACAGAAACCACAGCAACAGTCACGTACGACATTTATTTCTTTATTCCTCATCTTTTCTTTTTACAACTGTGCACGCATTGAGAACATATAAAGAACAGTGCTTACAGGTTAGCGTAAACGTACAACTTTTGACCATCGGTTATATTGCTAGACTTAAAATGCAAAACTGAATCAGCACACCTATTCTAAACAATTCTAACCAACATAAGTGAAGTGTAGTTGTGTGAATTAATTTGGTGCCTTTTTGGATCCTTTTCAGTCCAGTCCAAGTCAGGTGAATATGAAGACAGAGCCTTCAGATGCCCATAAGAATCCTGACCAGCCTTGCTTCACCAAGAAGGAGGTGCGGGATATCATTTTCGAGCGGAATGAGCTCAAAACCAACCTCTTCCTGGTGCAAGAAGAGCTGAATTACTATCAAAGGTATGTCAACTGTCTATTTGTGTCTTTTGCATTTACACAAAGTAGATGCAATCTTTGTTTTCTAGACTTAAATGCAAAACCATTTTTTAAAATTCAAGGCCCTAAGATGTCACAGTGGAGCATGTCAGACCAAAATAAAGACACTGCGTCCCCTTTCTTTGACCTCGTGTTTCTCTTTTCTTATCACGTTGGAAGGGACCACAAACAAGCACAAGTAGCTGTTTTTTATCATACCACTAGGGGGCAGCAACATGGAGCAAAATTTGTAGTCCCTTCAAGGTCATCCTCAGCGTTAAGTAGGATGTTTAATTCCTAAAATATAAGATTTCAGTTGGATTTTTTGCACATCAAATTGCCCAGTCACATGGAAAGAATCATTTAAAAAATGGGCATGAATCGTTGGATTCCTGTGAAGACTGCTCAGGATATAATTCCAGCATATTATTGAACAATTTATGTTAAAACAGCTTCCATTTGTTCCTCTCTAGGGAGATTCTGAGCGAGGAAAGGTGTCCCGGGTTCCTCTTGGAAGCCGTGCGAGCTGCCATTCATAAAAGAAGAAAAGTCATCAAAGCCAAGATGCTTGGAATTCCTCCCCCTGATAGCAGCAGGTCAAGCCTCTTGATCCACCATGATCCCAAAACCAACTCATAGAAAATGCGTATTTGTGGAAAGTTTTCATCTCACTGAAAGATACAATCGACATGATTCGAATCAAAAATGTGTACGTCTCTTTTAGTGACGAGGAAGAAGACAAAGGCCCTGTGACAGAAGTGGACGGCACTGAAAAGCCAGCGGAGTCACGCATCCGAAACCTGTGAGTGAAATCCACAGCTGTACAAAGGAGAACGTGTTTCCTCGCTATTTTGCGTGGCCCCGCTGTATCGCAGATTTTTGAGTGGGATGTACGTTATGTATTTGCCTGATTCAGGATGCTACATTGATGGTCACAACCTGGGTGAAGCAACTCCTCACCGCGTTGCTCTTTTGTGCGTTATTCTTCTCTCCCATTATGATCATGGGAGCTTAGCCAACCCTCCGCTATATTTAGCGTTAATCCCCGCCCCATTGAGCTGACCTAAGGCCTGTCTGTCTCTGTGCGGTGCAGCTTTGGCTTCCTGACGTGGTCGGGCAGTGGCCGGGGCCCCACCCACATGAGCAACTCCACGTCCAGCTGGGAGATCACACCCCCACCGCCCCCCGCCACCACCGTCACCCACCACCTGCAACTATTTGATCCCACTGCTTGTTCTAATAGATGACTTGAATGTGCTGCTGCGAGCTTTCCTGCATTATCGCAAGAATACTATGCAACTGTCAAAAGAGACAGACCCTCTCCCATTTTCTTATCACATCTCATTTTAAATGCACTCAATTTTAAGTCATGAAAGAACTTCTTCATAGTAGGATGAAGTTCACTTATCTGGAAAACAGTGATCACTAATGTTTACATGCATGCATTATTTATTTCTTTTAGAACCAAAGACTAACCAATACACACTTTTTTCAATGAGAAGTGCACTGTAAGGGGCGGGTGGGGGTGTGGGCTTAAAAATGTAAAGTTGAGCACTTATAAATTCTGATAAATTATCAATTGCGGGCAGCGTGGCTTAGTGGTAGAGTGGTCGTTTCCAAGCTTAAAGGTTGGTACTTTGATCCTGGCCAGTGCGACCATGTCCAAGTGTCTTTGAGCAAGATAATGAACCCCAAGTTGCTCCTGATGCTGCGTCATCAGTAGGTGAATGAGGTAAAAGTGTAAAGCACTTTGAGTACCTGAGAGTAGAATCATAATTTCGTCACACTACTGTTTTGCAACTTTTACTTAATTCGGGGAATTTGAACTCAATTGTGATGAGGTATCTTCCTTCATTTATCAGCCACTGTATTTTAACCCCATGGGCCTTAAACTGCTGCTTGAATTGCTTAATGTGCTGTATGTTTGTATGTCTTCAGAAGCTATTCTCGCAAGGATTTATTTGGATTTTGTACAGAAAGTAAAGCAATGACATGAGTCGAAAAAAAAAATTTTACTTAATTCGGGGAATTTGAACTCAATTGTGATGAGGTATCTTCCTTCATTTATCAGCCACTGTATTTTAACCCCATGGGCCTTAAACTGCTGCTTGAATTGCTTAATGTGCTGTATGTTTGTATGTCTTCAGAAGCTATTCTCGCAAGGATTTATTTGGATTTTGTACAGAAAGTAAAGCAATGACATGAGTCGAAAAAAAAAAGCATATTTTATGGGTTACTTAACTTTTTTTAAATGATGGAGAGAAAAAAATATATATTTATGTGTAAAATGTATATCTATATTTGCCATAACCCAAACTCCCAACGCCTAACTGCTTTGAGATGAGGATGAATATGGACTTTTGTGGCAAAATGGAGCATGTCCACTCTTTCAGATCTTATTTCTACAGTGCTCTGCAGCCTTTATTTGGATTCCAGACATGCACGCTCATGGTGTTGGCAAACAGTCCATTTGGAACACAGTCTAATGCATGGGTGTCAAACTCAAGGCCCGGGGGCCAGATCTGGCCCAGCACATCATTTTATCTGGCCCACGACAGCAAATCAAAGATGTCAACTTTCATGATGCTTCCTAAAATCCCGACCAAAATGTCAAATTCACATTTGTAATAAATAAAAGGGATACTGTTGTAAACATTTTCTTGTTTCCAAACCCCTCATTATAGTAACTTCAACAATAGGTGAATAAACCATTCTTCTTGACTTCTTCATATGGTTTCAGTCATAACGGCCCTCCAAGGGAAACTAACTAAAATCTGGCCTGTGACAAAAATGAGTTTGACACCCCTGGGTTAATGCTTCCAAACACATTCAATTTCTTGGTTAATGCTCTTGAAAAAACATTGGTACTTGCAAATTGTATTTAGAGCAGGGGCGGGCAACTCCGGTCCTCAAGTGTCCTCCCTCCTCCCACACAGCTGATTCAAATGAGCAGGATCTTCTGCACAGCCTGCCGGTGAGCTGATGTATTTTATGCTGGTGCCATGTATGTGTATTAGTTGTGAAGTGAATGACATGCCAGTCACAAGTTCAATCTGCCTCTGTTGCCCACAGCAGTGCTTGGCCAGTGAGCGAAAGTCGGACCACTCAATCCTTACACAGTCATTTTCTTTCCAATTGCATTTGCTGTTTGTTTTTTTTGTAAGGATGCGTTTTATTTCTGTCAAAAGAAATGGAATTACATTTGAATGCAAGTATACTGACAAATACTGACAAATTGAATAATTAAAGTCTATTTCACACATTGGGTGTTTGCATTGGAATGATCTTCTGTAATTTAACCACTGAGGTTTTAGGCGCCACCGCAAGGCAGTGCAGCTTTATTTATGTAGCGCATTTCATACACAAGGTGCTGTCAATCAATGTGGCTTAAAAATAAAACATTTAAAAGCATTTAGAAACAAAAGAATTTCAGACATTTAAGGGGGAATAAAAAGTAATTTACTAAAATGGACTTCAAATCAAACAATCCATGTAGACTTTGATTTCAAAAGAAGGTGACTGCATTGAATGCCTTGCAAAGCATTTCTAAAGAGCAAGTCCTGCTTCCGAGCCTCTGGAAATTCAGGTCCAACTCTTCAATCGCATCTTGACCATTCTATTTCAAATCCATTGTTGCTTTGGCCAAATATATCGGAACCTCCCTCTCTGTATTTCATCAGTTGCGATTACACTTGCCGGTGAATGAAAACACACTTGGCCGCACATACTGGCCGGGTGGGTCATCTCCTGGATGATGGGACCCGTGTAGCTTCTGGGAACAGCACCAGCATTTAGGGTTGTGCGCTTGTGTAACGTCAGCGAGTCACCGCTGATGTGTGCGGCCCCCCATCTTTAAAAAGCTTCATCTGGCTGAATAGAAGGAAGCGGCTTCAGCTTCCCCAGGAAATGGGAAGAGGAAACCCGGTGGCTCTGACCCCTATGCATAACGGCCACAGGACGACTCGGTGTGGAGAGAGAACGGGAACAAGGGAAGGGTGGAGGGTGGATCTCGTTAAACCGAGACACTTGAAGGGAGACATTCTAAAGAAATATTTGCAGAAGATGAAGCTTCTCCTCACAACTCTGACTACTTTATGCTGCTGTTGGCTGTCTTGCTCGCTCACGCTGGACTCTGCTGGAAGGAATGTCTGCCACAACCCCAGGTACATCTTGACTTCAGTATGCGCGAGAGTGATGAGGGCAGGTGACAATGTGTTTATAAGCACGCAATGAAGTTGACTGGTGGTCATGCGGGTTCAGAGCTCTCTTGTTTGTCTCCTTTATGAGCCTTTGTTAAACGTCCACTCTATCAAGCTAATTTAGTTTATGAACACTTTTACAGGGATCCATCCACCCTTGTGTGCTGCACAGGCTGGCGTCAGGATGGAAAAGAGTGCACGATACGTGAGTTCGAGCATCCCTATTAATATTTTTGTATGTTTACATTCTTTGTGTAGGCTTTGGTTGTAGTGGCCTCCTTCATATATGTTGTGTGTGTGTGTGCTTTTTAAATGATGGAGAGAAAAAAATATATATTTATGTGTAAAATGTATATCTATATTTGCCATAACCCAAACTCCCAACGCCTAACTGCTTTGAGATGAGGATGAATATGGACTTTTGTGGCAAAATGGAGCATGTCCACTCTTTCAGGTCTTATTTCTACAGTGCTCTGCAGCCTTTATTTGGATTCCAGACATGCACGCTCATGGTGTTGGCAAACAGTCCATTTGGAACACAGTCTAATGCATGGGTGTCAAACTCAAGGCCTGGGGGCCAGATCTGGCCCAGCACATCATTTTATCTGGCCCACGACAGCAAATCAAAGATGTCAACTTTCATGATGCTTCCTAAAATCCCGACCAAAATGTCAAATTCACATTTGTAATAAATAAAAGGGATACTGTTGTAAACATTTTCTTGTTTCCAAACCCCTCATTATAGTAACTTCAACAATAGGTGAATAAACCATTCTTCTTGACTTCTTCATATGGTTTCAGTCATAACGGCCCTCCAAGGGAAACTAACTAAAATCTGGCCTGCGACAAAAATGTGTTTGACAACCCTGGTCTATAGGGACACTAATCATTGTCTTCTCATTACATAATACTCAGCAGGGCCTAATTTATGTCCTCCCTCCTCCCACACAGCTGATTCAAATGAGCAGGATCTTCTGCACAGCCTGCCGGTGAGCTGATGTATTTTATGCTGGTGCCATGTATGTGTATTAGTTGTGAAGTGAATGACATGCCAGTCACAAGTTCAATCTGCCTCTGTTGCCCACAGCAGTGCTTGGCCAGTGAGCGAAAGTCGGACCACTCAATCCTTACACAGTCATTTTCTTTCCAATTGCATTTGCTGTTTGTTTTTTTTGTAAGGATGCGTTTTATTTCTGTCAAAAGAAATGGAATTACATTTGAATGCAAGTATACTGACAAATACTGACAAATTGAATAATTAAAGTCTATTTCACACATTGGGTGTTTGCATTGGAATGATCTTCTGTAATTTAACCACTGAGGTTTTAGGCGCCACCGCAAGGCAGTGCAGCTTTATTTATGTAGCGCATTTCATACACAAGGTGCTGTCAATCAATGTGGCTTAAAAATAAAACATTTAAAAGCATTTAGAAACAAAAGAATTTCAGACATTTAAGGGGGAATAAAAAGTAATTTACTAAAATGGACTTCAAATCAAACAATCCATGTAGACTTTGATTTCAAAAGAAGGTGACTGCATTGAATGCCTTGCAAAGCATTTCTAAAGAGCAAGTCCTGCTTCCGAGCCTCTGGAAATTCAGGTCCAACTCTTCAATCGCATCTTGACCATTCTATTTCAAATCCATTGTTGCTTTGGCCAAATATATCGGAACCTCCCTCTCTGTATTTCATCAGTTGCGATTACACTTGCCGGTGAATGAAAACACACTTGGCCGCACATACTGGCCGGGTGGGTCATCTCCTGGATGATGGGACCCGTGTAGCTTCTGGGAACAGCACCAGCATTTAGGGTTGTGCGCTTGTGTAACGTCAGCGAGTCACCGCTGATGTGTGCGGCCCCCCATCTTTAAAAAGCTTCATCTGGCTGAATAGAAGGAAGCGGCTTCAGCTTCCCCAGGAAATGGGAAGAGGAAACCCGGTGGCTCTGACCCCTATGCATAACGGCCACAGGACGACTCGGTGTGGAGAGAGAACGGGAACAAGGGAAGGGTGGAGGGTGGATCTCGTTAAACCGAGACACTTGAAGG